CATTGATTAATGGCATTAATTAAGGTATATTCTTACCCCTAAATTTGAAACTGTATGTATTGGGCATCTATGCGTACGTCCTTCCTCTTGTGTGGAGTATCCACAAACGAAGGTATCCACCGTGGGATTGCAGTACGGGTGAATGACTAATTGCCTCACATGGAATAGCTAGTCTACACAATGGAAGGATTGGTAGATTTAGTGCGGAAATGAAAGTGTTGGTTCCCTTTGGCTCAGTAGGGTTGTTAATCAATAGTCAATAAGGACATTGACATTTCTAAAGGGGACGTGAGTGTAGTGCATGTGATTATGAGATGAGATTTGAATATACTATCACTGTGGATCCTTGGGGGATAAATGAGGATAAAATAGCCACTAAGGGCTTTCTTATCAAACAATTGCCCCTTTTCCAGTTGGCTTAAGGGGAAAAAGATAAAGTGCATTACAGTTGGTCCACTCTCTTTCTGACCAAACTGTTTTTTCCTTACTGCCATGACAACAGGAGGTCAGTATTACTGAACCCATTATTAGTTCCCACTTGAGTTAGTTGAGAAACTGGTCAATGACCGTGCACTTAAATCGGATAAACATAAGGTAAGAACTTCTATATGTTTCTTGCTGAGCATACTCGGCCTGGTTTGAGAAACTCTTATCATTGACTTGCACTTGCTAGTATCAAAAACCCCCGCAATATTGAGCTTGGTCTCTCAATATCGCTAGATGATAGTTTATTGTGTCTGCCAAACACCCTCGTTATCATGCTCTTTGTGTTGGTTTCATTTCGGTCCCAAATGCTATTTATGGAAAGTGTCCAAATTTGCTCATTTGGCATATCTATGGAATGTAAAGATTGTCCTGAAAAAAATGGTGTTCGTCCCGTGTCCAAATTCACAATCTAGCGTCATTCCATATTTAGTAAATTTCGAGCTTATCCCAAAGACTAACTCCTGATACTAAGGAAGGCTTGGGGTGATGTGTTCCTTAAAGGGGGGGCCTGTGGGGGGTTCCAAATGTATAGTAGGGATAATGGGTAAGTCAGGCATGGCTGATCAATCTAAGACATAGTCTAACTCCCGTTTGCATGCTTGTCCTTGTTTTGCATCTGGCTTGGGTCTAAGCCCAAGTTCCATTCCATGCTAGTTGGTGGAGTACCCATGTCCTTGCGTTAGGCCACCGGTATGCTGAAATAGCATCAAACTCTGTTTGGCTCCGTTTTGTGTGTTAGTCCTGGCATTGGGATGCTGGTTACTTTAGGATTGTTCCAAGTTGTTCCGGGCTCCTATTCATTTGCTCCTTAGGCTACATGCTCGTGAGTCATTATGTGCTCCAGTGCTAATGCTCATTAACTCCATGCTTGGGAGTTTAGCACTATTTCTTTGTTCAATGGCCCAAGCCCCTGAACCTCAGGTTCTGCACCACTATCCTTTGGACACGTGGCATATGACACATGGCATCTGTCACATGGCATTTGTCACGTGGCATAAAGAGGGTTTAGGTTCTACTTTGTGGTGTTATCCTATGGTAAATCACCATAGGATAAAGGGTAAAAACCACGTGCGCTACAAGGGGGGAGACGCCTTGAAGTAATATTTAACATGATTGTATTATACAATTTAGACCAACAATAAAGTCAAAAACTTAACTTGGCAAAACAATTGAAGCTCAAGGTTAAACTCACCCACATGTATAGCTAGATCCATTTTATCCTATACACATGTATGTATATGGCCATTGCCATAGAAAATGAAAATTGACTCTATTGCATAATGCAACTATAAATAATAACATGTGATAATAAATTGAGTAATATTAAGCCCATATAAACTAATATAAAAAAGATAATAAAGGACCTTTTGTTCTAGAAATAAATTTTAAAAGTAAAAACTAAATAAACTAATGCTAAGTGAACCCTTTGATAATACTCTCAAAAGAAGGATGGAAGGGTCACTAATTTATTCATTTCACTACTCAGATATTGTCGATACTAAGGACTCCACCCAACAAATGGACACTAATATAAAAAACACCAATAATATTAATACAAAAATGGAATATAGAAGTGTGTATATCTAATTAGCTCAAAAACCTAGCTGGTTTAGATTAAAATCGATCCAATGGTTATCATAATCTCACTATGCTAATATTAATATACAGCTATACATTTGGACCTCACAAACATAATAAACATTATTTGAATTATTGGGTTTTTTTAAATAAAGATGAGTTCACATTGAATTCATAGTTTATCAAATTTAGGTAATAATAATGAAATTACTCAAAGACAAGAAATGATAAAAACTGTAATCTATAAAATTTAATGTTTAATATTTTAGCTTTTAACATCAACACTATGGACATTTTTTGTTATCACAATTAGTATAATAATTAATTAGATTTTTAAATTTTCATTTTTAGTGCTTAAAAATTAGTATAATATAAAGGAAAATACTATACAAGTTTAAGACCTTAAAGTTTTTAAATGTAATTTTTTTTGTAATTCTTTTTTTAATTCTTTTTTTTAAATGTTTTTTTTTTTTAGTTTTTTTTAAATGCTATATGATTATGTGAATGTTTTTTATTAGCATGTAAAACAAGGATCTCTTTTGATAACTTCTTTTTTCTTTTCCAGCCGCCAGTAAAAGATGGACTAAATCAACGTCCAGGTTTAGTCGTTAACCTCTTGGTTTATGTGATTTGTTGTTTGTGCGGAGGGAATTCTATCAAAAGCACATTATTCCTACAAATGCATAAATGTGGAAGGAATCGATTCCACTCATGCACATTGTGAAGTCCTTGGCCTCTCGATCATCCAATTATAAAGAGAGGAGTGAGCAGATCACCATCGCCCAAAATGTAAGGAGCAAGTTTTCTAGGAAGAAATGATCGATCGATGGATGAATGTTTTTTTTTCTTTCGGAAACAAGACGCATAATCCCGAGGCGGCGGCAAGAAGGAAGCTAGAGGACATGGCAAAAAGCGACCTGGATCAAGCTTTCAGTGAATTCGCTACTGGGTCTTTTCTTCCTCCTGCCGCCACTGGCGCTGCTTCCGTCGCCATCTTACACAAGCATGCCTCGAAACGACGCAACAAACTACCGCCAGGTGTCTATCGATCAATCGATGGGTTCTTCTCAGTCTATGGGATTAAGTTTGATTGTGTGTGGCAGAGGTTGCCGTTTGTTGGAAATCTCCTCCAGATGACGGTGGAGAGGCCACACCGCAAGCTTACAACCTGGAGTAACGAGTATGGGCCGATTTACACCATCAGGACAGGCCAGAAATACCAAGTCATTGTCAGCTCGCCTGAGCTTGCAAGAGAGGTGGTAAACAGCATCTTTCATGGCAAAGCTATAACTCGCTGGTGGCAGGCTCTTGTCGCCAAGTATTCCTCCATCTCCAACAGGGATTTGGGATCAAACATTACCATTCTTACCAGGAACAGGAAGATCGTGGCAATGAGTGACTATGACGAGCGGTACAGGATGCTCAAGAGAATGATGGTGAACAACTTGCTCGGACAAACTTCGCAGGTTACTTTGCTCGTTTTATTGCCTTTGACCTCATCTCGATCTTTCAGAAATCTTTTCGTGGTCACCGCGAGAAGTACTTGTACATTGCACTCGATGGCCTGTTTGATGAGCTCCGGAGGCTTCCCGGCTCTACAGGTCATGTGAACGCGAGAGATTGCATTCTCAACTTCTCTTCCGTCAAGGAATGCACCAGGCAAGTCTTAGTCTATCATCTTGAGCAAGAGCTAAAAAAGTTTAGTGATTTAAGCAGGTTTTCGGCCGAGATATCGAGCGTGTTAGCGTTCTAAAGCTTGGAATGGAGGTGACGAGATGGGAGATTTACCGCACTCTTGTGCAGAACTTGATGAAAGCGTCCGTCCAGATCGACTGGAGAAACTTTTTTCCGAGCCTCAAGTGGATTCCCAACCGGAAGTTTGAGGATGGGATCTACAGGGTGGAGCGCAAGAGGTCTGCGGTGACCAAAGCATTGATGGAGCAGCACAGGGAACTCTCTCGCAGCCAGGTTTACGATCACTAAAGAAGTTTTGGTTTGTAGTAGCAGCGAGACAAGTGCTACTGTGGTGTTCTTCTGGACAATGAATCGCACTTTAGTAAGGACGAGCTGTTGCTGGCTGCGTGGGAGCCGATCATCGAGAGCTCCGACACGACACTGGTGACGTCCGAGTGGGCTCTCTACGAGCTGGCCAGAGCTCCAAAGCTACAGGTAGTATGATCATCAATCCTCACAGTCACACTTGTAAAGCTATAACATCAAAACATTTGCAGGAGAAGCTCTACGACGAGATCAAACGCGTCGTGGGAGACGAGCATATGAGCGAAGACGACCTTCCAAATCTTCCCTTCCTCAACGTTGTCATCAAAGAGACACTGAGAAAATACAGCCCCGTTCCAATTCTCCCCCCGAGATACATACACGAGTAAGTCGAGCTGGGTGGCTACACCATTCCGGCTGGCTACCAGGTGAGTGAAAGCTGAAATATTAGATTCCTGTTAGATCACACACACGTAAACCTTTCCAGCTGATTGTCAACGTCTTTGGAATCCACCACGACCCCAAACGCTGGAGCAATCCCGAGGCGTGGGATCCATCACGGTTTCTAGGCGGCGAAGTTGACATGGGATTGACGTACATGAGACTCACGCCCTTTGGCAGGATCTGTGCCGGGATCGCCCAAGCCTTTTACGTTGTCCCCATGATCATCGCCAGTCTCGTCCAGCACTTCGAGTGGAGCTTGCCCCAAGGTGACATGGACAAAAAGAATGTTTTGGAAGACACGGCCACCCAGAAGCTGGAACCTCTCCAGGCCTGTGCCAAGCCTCGCGTGCCTCGCAGGCTTGCTGGGAATGCCCAAAAAGTCAAGTAAAGTCAATACAAAGTCAAGTGACCTAAAATTTAAAATTGTGTACAAAAAATATACCGTTTTAGTGACGTGTCAAGTGACGTGCCTATGACGTGGCCAAAACGAGGGCTTACTTGGCAATGGCACAGTGCGTCCGGATGGAGCCGTGCGAGCCCGTCAGCACGCCCAGCTCCGACATCTTTTCCATCGCCTTTATGAAGTCGAGATAGAATTTCTCGCTGGAAGCGGCGTACTTGTCGATCGATTTTCTGGTGCGGCTGTCCGAGTAGAATTCTTGATCCGAGTTGAAGAGGCCCTTGCCCTTTTGGATGTTGAGGAAGTAGTGATTGTCGAGCAAATGCGCGGAGCCGTGATCGTTGGCCACCGCGGCGTTGCCATTGGGATCGCAGCTCGCCTTGAGGAAGATGGCGTGCGTGGGATTGAGCGCGGGATCGGGCTGCGCAGTCCCGCTGAAATTGGAGTAGCGATCCCGGAAAAATGGGCAATGCCCAACACCGATGCTGTGCCCTCCTCCTGCGCAGACCAGAAGTTCTCCAGAGTTATGGATCGATCATCATATGTGCATACCTTGGAGAACCACCATTTCCTCCGCAGAGAATCCCCGATTCCTGAATTTCTTGAGCAGCGCGGTCGTGTTCTCAAACGGGCTAGGCAGATCCTTCAACGCTCCCTGGAAGAAGGATCTCCTTCCGTCGCGTCTTCCGAATTTCAGCCTCCAGAATGGTCCTCCACTCTAGATCATCACATGTCAAAAGAAAAAGCTATCCCAGACTCGCAAGAACAATCGATCCATACCAGTGCGACCGCGTCGCGAGCTGCCAGTGCCAGAATATCAGAGCACGACACTGTTTCGGGGCAAACTTCCTCGAGCTGCTCCTTGATCGCATCGATCACTTCGAATCCATGCAGTGACAAGTTGGGTCTCGCATCTCTCTCGGGTGGATCTGGCCCGCTGGATGAATTGAGCATGACCGAGCTATCGAGCCCCTGGCAAAAGCAAAGATCGCGATCCCAGTTCTCGTGAAACAAGAAAGGATTTCACTTACGCCAACGAATGCGTCGTGAAAGACCAGTCGGAGCAATCCCGGCGGGACGGTGTGATCTCTGTTGAGAAAGCTTTGCACGGTCGCTGCCACGATCATCTCGAACTCCGGGCAATCTTCATTGTAGAAATCGCGATCCAGCATCGACGCTCTTGCATGATAATGGCCAGTGATCGCGATGACCAAGAACAGCGTAGCAAAGATCTTAAAAGCCATTATTTGCGATAGCAAAATCGCCAACAGTCTTATACATATGCTAAAGCGCTTAATTAGTTCAAAAATCTATGATTTTGCTATAAAATTAACTAACCGCATGGTAATTATATTTTCCCAAATCTTATCATATTTGACGCGTGGCAAATATTTTGCCACGTATGAGTATTACGTGTCTAAAACGAAGGCTTAGTTGGCAATGGCACAGATCTTCCGGACGCTTCCCTGCGAGCCCGTGAGCACGCCAAGCTCCGAGAGCTTCTGAATCGCCTTCGCGAAATCCCTCGAAAACGCGCTGCTGGAGGCTGCGTACTTGTCGATCGCTGGCTTCGTGCGCCCATCGAAAAGGAGCTCTTGATCCGAGGTGAAGAGCCCCTTCCTGGCCTGGACGTTTGCAAAGTACTGGTTGTCGAGCAGCGGTGGCGTGACTGGATCGTTTGGCAGTGCGGCATTGGCGTTGGCGCTGCAAATCGGTCGGAGCTGCGCGGCGTAGGAGGGATCCAATGTGGGGTCTGGGTTGGAGAGGCGAGACGCGATGAGTGGGCAGTGCCCCACACCAATGCTGTGTCCTCCTCCTGGTTCATATCCATGGATTAGATCATCTCTAGATCGAAAACCATCGTATTCTACCTTGGAGGAGCACCATCTCCTCGGGATTGAAGCCTTTCGCAGCAAATTTCGCAAGCAATCCATTTGCGTCTTCGAATGGGCTGGGGAGATTGTTTGCTTCGTTGAAGTTTGAGCTTCTTCCATCTCGCCGACCGAATTTCACCCTCCAAAACGGTCCATTCGTCTAGACAAAGAAGCGAAAGTTTTACCGGATGTTAGAAATTTGGAAGAAACTAACCAAAGTTATGGCGTCCCTGGCCGCGGTTGCCAAGATATCCGCGCAGGAAACAATGCCGGGGCAAATCCCCTCGAGCTTGGACTTGATCGCGTCGATCAAATCAAAGCCATGCAGCGAGAGATTTGGAGTCGCAAGTCTCTCCGGTGGATCACTCCCTCCCGATGAATTGAGCAAGGGTGACCCATCAAGGCCCTGGAAGAAACAATCGTTCTTTCGTTAGATCTCCAGGGAAGGCTTTGAAGTTTAGCTCTTGACACTCACTCCAACAAAAGCGTCGTGAAAGAGCATCCGGAGAAGACCCGGAGCAACACTAGGATCTCTATCGAGGAAACTTTGGACGGTTCCAGAGACGATCACTTCGAAAGGAGGGCACGAATCATCGTAGAATCCTCGGTCCAGTGCTCCTTTTACTCTACAATTGCTCGAAACAGTCGCCACTACTACCAACACAAGCAAGAACTTTGCACCCATGGATAGACCTTGGAAGTTGACAATGGATATCTTGCAATATTTCCTACCGATGAATGGATCGATCGCACTGCATGCATTGGAAAGCTTGGGGATTTATATAGCCAAGTCCAAAGCACACATTGGAACATGCCTCGAACCATTGCGTGTGCTCTGGGTTGACGGCGATTATATGATTCTAATTTGTTAAATATCCATTAACCGTTGCGTGGATGGGCTTGCATATGGTTGTCACGCGCCTTTCAAAGCTTTCTTAAAACGCTCGAGCTTATTAAAATTTTGATCTGGTCGTGCAAAGACGTGGTTTAGATTCTAGGCTTTTTACGAGAAGAACTCACACATGGAAATGACGCGGTTTGATCTTTAACAAAGTTTCTCAAACTCTTCTTGTTCCAAAACGCTCAAACTTGCATTGCCTCCATGGAGGATCGAACTCCAGGCCTTCAGTTTACAAGACTGACGCTCTACCACTGAGCTATAGAGGCATTAGACAGCTTAAGATAGTTTTAAGCAAAGAATCCACATTTTATTCTTGTTCACGCTACAAAAGAATGCTCATTGTGTGCTTCGTCTATAGCGAGAAGATCTCACTTGGCGATGGAGCAGACGGTTCGAATGCCACCAGTGTTGGACTGAAAAGGTGGCAGAGTGATCAACTTCGCCATCGAGGCTCTAAACTGCTGGGCGAACGCTACCGGGTTGGATGCAAAGGTATCGACGAGCGGTTTAGTCTGGGGGTGGAAGAACAGCCCCTCGTCCGAGGTGAAGAGCCCCTTCCTCTGCTGGAGGTTCTTGTAGTACTGGTTGTCGAGCGTGTTCTGGGTGATGGGATCGTTGGCCACCGACGCACTGGTCTGGCATTTCCTCTGGAGCTCCTGCGCGTAAGTGGAGTTGAGAGTCGGGTCTCGCGACGTGATCCTGCTCTGGAAGAAGCCACAGTTTCCGAATCCAAAGCTGTGAGCACCTGTGAGATCACAAGCAAGATCCAAAGTTACCATCTGATATCCGAGAGGAAGTTTGAAGTACCTGAGAGTGCCACCAAGTCCGAGACGGAGAGCTGCTTGGCATTGAATTTGCTGATCAATGAGTTGGTGGATTCGGAGGGTGCAGGAAGCTGAACCTCGGCAGCGCTGGAAACTCGTCCATCTTTCCTTCCCAGTGGAACATCCCACGATGGGCCTCCAGCCTAAACTATAGTGGTTAAATCTAAAATAGTTTTTGAGAAAGTTTCTTACCTTGACAACTGCGTCCCGCGTTGCTTGTGTCAAGATATCAGCGCAAGAGACGACTCCGCGGCACGACCTCTCGAGCTTGCTCTTGATGGTGTCAATGACTTGGAATCCACGGAGCGAGAGGTTTGGCCCGGCTTGCCTCTCCGAGTTTGGGCCACTGAGAAGAACCGAAGCATCGCATCCCTGTCAAGTTATGAGGTAAGTGTCGAGCATCACTAAAACCCACAGGAGGAACTTACTCGAACCCAGCAGTCGTGGAAGTGCATCCTCAAGAGCCCGGCAGCGATGGTGGGATCCTTCTTCATGGCAGCAGCCACTTCATCACTGACAGTCTTGGCGAAAGAGCTACATTTGTTGTTGTAGAACGTGAGGCTCATACCACCGGCGGATGGAGCTGGCGTAACAGCTTTCACCTTCTTCGCTTTAGATTTCTTGACCTTCTTCTTCTTGGTGGCCGCATCACCACTCAAAACCAGCAATGCGATGACGAAAAGTAGCAACAAGAGCCTCTTGGATGGCAGCAGCGAAGCCATTTCTTTCCCTGGCTTTTATCTTCAGTATGTAGATCGATCGAGATGAACAACACCTGTGCTCTATCCCTGTGGAATAAGTACTCCTTACCGCTACTCTACCTCGAATGGAAACCGATGAGAGAAACAAGCAGGAAGGATGGATATATAGCTTCGTAAAACGTGTGCATGTTTGCATGTCTTTGGCAGCTCATTCAAGCTACACGATCGCGAACATGTTAGCAACAAAGAAACAAAAAAATACTCACAAGTGAACTCTTAGTAGAGAAACTATTTACAGATTTGGTCGCCGTAAAAAAGATCACCCAAACTTTGACGATATGGTTGCTGCAACGCTGGAAGGATAGAACATCATGCAAAGGGGAGGATCCACCTTTGCCAGCGCCAGGATTGCCGAAGGAACGGCCCAAAGGCCATCCCCGCAAATCAATCCCGAGGCAAACGCTGGAACGTAAATCTCCGACTTCTTCCTGTTCAGCTGCTGCCATATAAAAACTATCACCGTGCCGATGAACATGTCGATGGCGAAGTAAGCTCCGATGTAGAAAGGAATCGCCATAGCCATCGGGATAGGAATGTACTTAGAGTACTTCTTCGGCAGCAAGTCCCTGATGCCGTTCACCACCACTGCCATGACGAAGAAGGCATAGCACAGCTCCAAGCAGTGCGCTGGAAGAGCCGAGAAGCCTTGCACCCCGATGATAGCCATCTGCCTGTAAATCACTGCGTAGGGAGCCTTGTACTGCCCGTTCTCGTCGCCGATTGGAAAAGCCTTCCAGAACATCCAGAACGTAAGCGGTGCCAGGACGCAGCCCAGGAACGTACCGACGATCTGAGCGACGAACATGGACCTGGGAGATGATCTTGTCAGGTACCCCGTCTTGAAGTCTTGCATGAGATCAGATGCTGTAGACACGATCGTCATCATCACTCCGCAAGCTGCTAGGCCCGCGACCACTCCTCCGTTGCCAGCACCGGCCCAGGCAGCAAAAACGAAGAGGCCGATCTTTCCATAAGTTGACGACAGACTCCAGTCGGTGAGGCCAGTTCCATAAGCGTTGCAAAAGGCCAGAACCGGGGCGAGGATGTAGCAAGTCATGACGAAGTACCATCTCATTGGCGGGAAGATCTGGGGAATCACGCCGGTGGAGATGGCAGCTAGACCAATGTAGCACGACGAAGCCAGCCAAAATGGAATCCTGCCTTTGAGGAACGTCTCGTTTCGTTTCTTCTCGTCTGTCGTTAGTACGCCGTCGCGGGAATCAGCGCCTGACAATAAAACAAGACGCTATCCATATCAGCAAGCATATTAAACACGGAAGCTTTGCTCACCGGCAGTGATGGGGAGGAGGTCCGTCTTGTAATGTTTGTACATAAACCACACACTCACAATAACAACCTTGATGAAGTTGTAAAGCCCATCTCCAAGAATTAACGCAATAGCAACAAAAACCTGCACGATTATGTTGAGTCGTGAACCAAACGACAGAAAAAAAGACAACTCCAAAACGAACCTTATATCCATATAGACCCCGGAAATTTGAGCCCTTGAAACTCTTGTCATACCAGCCCGCCGTACTGATAAGAGGCCACATGATCCCCCAGGAGATAATCGCACCCAGCAACACGGAAACATTCACAATATGTGGACAAATCATGCCCGCTCCAACGTAAGTTAAGTTGAAATCGAAGAGAAACCTGTAAGTTTGAGGTAAGTTCACATTTTCGCACCATTTTGATTTTTTACTTGTTGTTCAGGGCTTTCAAGCCAAGCGTTGGAAAGTTATCGAAACCGCACGCGCTTTCTCCGTCGCCGCTATAAAACCACTTGAAGAAACTGAAGAAAAAGCTCAGGCCCATCGTTTTAGCTAGGCATTTCACCTGTTTCCTGTTACCACAGATCAAAATCCCTGAGAATCCCGACGGGATAAAGAAATTTTGCTTACTTGGCAGTTTTTGCACCTTCTGGAGTGTGGAAGCTGTTGATGAGAATTGCGGTGGCAGTCCCGCTGGGATACGTAAGCCTGTATTTCAGGATCATTATCTGAAAAGCAAACAGCACGCTCAGTAGAGTTGCACACAAGAATAACAAACCAAACACGGACCTTGCTGAGTGGTACAATCACCAGAATGCCAAGGAAGCTCACTGTGAAAATAAATGCAAATATCCATCCCAGAGCGGGTGTCTTGACGTCTACAGCTCGATTTCCTGGAAAACTTGCTCCAATCTTCTTGTAGGTGTTGTCATCCAGTCCCAAAAGATATGTGCCAAAACCACCTGAGAGAGAGAGAGAGAGAGAGAGGAGCTTTCAAGTTTGGTGATGCAACCAGAAAAAGATGTTCTCACCGCTGAAAGCAATTCCGTAGCAAGCCACGACACACGTCTGGACGACTGTGTTCTCCTGACGGGTGAAAGGCCTGGACCAAAAGTTGAGCCTGGTGAAGACACCGTTCCAGAACTTGATCATGAAGAAGCCAAGAAGGCCAGCCGACACATTGAGAGACGGGATGATTCCAACCGTGAGGCTGAGCTTGTGGGTGATGATGCAGAAGAAGCCTCCCAGGATGGCGCTCACGACCAAGGCTCGGAGCGTAATCTGGTCCTGCCATCGAGGAATCGCTACCTTTTCAAAGAGTTCCTCCACCGAAAAGCACTCCTTCCCGTTGCCGTTCACGAGGACATCCGAACCATCCCACTGCCCTTCTTTTTCGAAGGTCTCGTCGCCCTCTGCCGGGAATTGCTGCTGGACATCTCTCGTGTGCTTCGGCTGGTGCTCCTCGGAGGAGGATTCCATGACCATAGCTTCAGCTCACAGCTAAGATCCTGCAAAAGGGCGGCTCCACTGAGACTCCAGAAAACGACAAGGAACTAACCACGAGCACAGTGGCCTAGATCGTCAAACCCTCGAAGAACAGGGTATATTTGAGACATTTTTTCTCTTTTTCTGGCAAGAAGACCGACAGTTATCTTAAGAGCGGAACTGAATGAAAATCCGAAAATCCCACCAATTTGGAGCAGTGGGCTGGGTGCGCACGGCAATGAGAATTGAGTGATGTGCACTGCAAGCACTACTTGAATGATCCAAATCTCTGGAACGAAAAGCGATAAGAGAGAGAGAGAGAGAGAGAGAGAGAGAGAGAGAGAGAGCCCACCGATGCGACAGTGCACGGCTTCATGCGTTGATAGTCTTCCTTCACTTCGTCCTCATGATAAAATCCTCCACAACTTTACTAAGCCGTCGTCTCCAGCCGAAGCAAGAATGTCATCGTCCTGAAACACTGGGTTTCCTTAGCCTGGAAGCTCGTCAAAATGATTAAAAATTTTACCTTCGGATGCCATCTCACGCAATTCACGTCTGTGCTGTGAGCCTTTTGTTGCTTTCCAACCATTGAAAACACTGCTCGCTAATTCCGCGAGAAAGTCAAGAGCGCGACCTCTACAAAATATAAATATATAGAAAGCTTACCGATGTATAGGACGGATCATTGGCTTCAGCGAACACGCGGATTGCATCGTCGCCTGCCGCTGAAGCAATCAGGCCCGACCGCCTAAAATATACACACAAGACGCGCGCGCACACATATTAAACTTCGTCAAGAAAGAAGAAAATATAAAAAAAATTCTTCATTCACCTCGACCAATGCACAGAATAGATGGTTCTTTCGTGATAGCCAGACAAAGTACAGAGGTGCTTCCTAAAAAGGCAAAACTTAAAGATAAGAGGAAGCAGAATGATAAAACTTAACCAGCTCGATTCCAGGGGATTCGTGCTCGTATCCCACACAACCAGCAATAGATCATCACTGTAACGAAGCTGCTAAGTGGACAGAAGGTAGAGATTAAAGAGAGAGAACGCACCTACATGAGACCATTCGTTTCCCATCGGCGTCGAATGCTACGCTCCATACAGTTGAGCTATGACCCCTGGTTTTAGGCAGCCAAAGTTACAGCGCCAGAAGAAGAATCATACATACTGGTTGGGCTCAGCAAGCGTCTGAACGCACGACCAATCGTCTCCATTTGGATCGGGAGCCCACACCTGAGAAGCAAGAAAAAATCAAGAGTTCTCCGTATTGCTTTCGAGAATTACCTTGATAGAATTGTCATAGCTGCTCGACACAAGAATGTCCTCAGTAGGATGAAACAAGACCGTTTTCACGTCTTGGGAATGGCCATTCAATACAGAGACTGTTTGGAAATCGTTCTCGGCTTCCATTTCCCAGATCCACACACTCTTGTCTCGACCACAAGTCGCGAGAAGAGTGCCAGAAGCACTCCACGCGATTGATTTCATCTCATTTTCATGTCCCTGGCTCAAGAAAAATAAAGTTTGCCAAAGAGAGAAAACGAGAGAGAAATATATAAGTACCTCTAGTGTAGCAACGCACTCGTAATCACCTCCTACGTCTTCCCACACAGCTCCAATTCCATCAAAGCACGCGGTCGCAAGCAATTTCCCATCGGGCGACCAGTGACACGACCTCACAGTGCGTTTGAAAGAATCGATCACGGCCTAGATGACGAGAGAAATTTCCGTCGGCAATATCACTCGAAATGTGACCGCCATACCTTGCAATTCCACGAGGAAGAAGAAGAAGAAGAATCCGAGCAATCGCCTTCCCAAATCCTCACTGTCTTGTCTCCGCCACACGACGCCAGCACGCTCCGATTCGAGGAGCTGGCCACTGGATTCCAGGCAACGCTCCAAACACGATCGGTGTGGCCCTCGAGCTCCTGGATCGCCTCCATCGCCACAGCCATAATAAAAACCCTAAACCTCCTAATGCAAAAATATTTCGAGTATATTCGTATAGCTTCTAAAAAATTACATTAAAGGTTAATCCAACGGCCCTGATTTGTAAAGGAGAGATTATTCCAATCTAACGGCTCCTAGAGTTCTAGTGGTATCCAATTGGAGCCGGCGAGTCTTTGAGCTCCTTCCCTTGCAAGTGAGCGTCCTGGAAGCAAAAGGAGAGAGAAACGTAAGAAACACTAGAACTTGATCGATCGATCAAAATCTCTTACCGCAGCGAAATGGTTCACGTCTCTGTGGTGAGCTTCGTCCGCCCGGACCACGAACACCACGTCTCGCAACGTCGCATCGCTGGGGAGCCTCCAGTAATCGATAGCGATGGCGGGGGCGGGAGTGTTTGGCATGCTTCCCTTGTCCAAAGCAGCGAGGAACTCCGTGTAGGAGGCCACCGCTTCTTCCTCCAGGTAGCCCACGAATCGATGCGCGAGGCGCGGGAAGATCAAGTAGAGCGCGAAGTAGCCATTGAAGAAGACGCCCTGGACCGCCAACACGAGAGCGCGCTCGTACCACTTGGGCTGGAAAACCTCCATGAAAGTCATGAGATGCATTCGCTCGTTCTCGGCCTCCTCGAGGAGAGCTTTGATCCAGCCGCCACTGTGCTCGAATTTGCGCAGGGATTTGCAGTGGAGCAGCATCCCTCCAACCATGCCTGGGACTGCTGCCACTGTTTCCAATAGCACGGCGTGACAGCCATGGCGTTCCTGCGAATCGATCGATCTATGAGATCATCCAAGGAAAGCTTCACGCTTTTCTACTTGCGTACCTGGAAGAAGAGGTCTGACAAAGCGCGGAGGAACTTCACGGTTTTGAGGGCGACCTTGTCAACCACGGCGTCGGGAATGTGGTGTTTCTTCACATCGATGCTCGTGTCGGAGACATAGCTGTCGGAAGGCTTTGAGAAGAAATTCCAAACAACAAGATCGATCAATGGATCATCCAAGGACATTGGATCAAAAGCCCACCTTGAAGCAGTTCCACGGCCAGGGAGTACCGTCTTCCCGGAGAGTTTTCTTGGTGATAATTCCCCAGTAGTTAGAAAATTGCTGGTCGTCGTTCTTGTGATTCTCGTGATCTGTGGGAGAATTTTGGCTGTTCACGACGTGGGCAGCGGCGCTGCTGCTGAATCGCGATGACCCACAGCGAGAAATCTGGTGCGGGACCGGCCTCGCGAGCTTGTCCAGGAAGAAACTGCGAGATCCAGAGGAGAAATGGCGGGACGAAGAACTTGGAGTTAGGCCGGATCTAAGCTCAATTGCCCGCACCAGCAGCCTCGCAGCAGCCTTGCCTTTCATTCCGCCAAGAAGAATTAGGAAAATCAAATGGATTTTCGCGCGAGATCTGTGCGAGAAAGAGGAAAAAGAACCAATTGAATGTCTACCTTTTGGAAGAATGCTGGAGATCCCAAATGCCAAAATGGCTCCTATTTATGCTTCCAACGAGCTGGGGCAAGACATAGACGAACGATGCTTCTAACGAAGCATCCCTGAGCAGCAGCATGGTCAAAAACCTAGTCAGGTAGAACAAGTCAAAGAATTTTCATTCAAGCATTTATCGCTCCTTGACACACAAACGTTTGTCCGGCAGGAGGAGTTCTACGCCCTTCTTCTTGCGTTTCAGATCCTCCTAGAATCATATAATCTTTGTCAACCGACTATCAGCTGAAGTGGGTCATAACGGTAAACGGCCTGTCACTGGAATAACGTCGCGAGAGAGATCAACTTCCCGGTGGCTGCGTGTAGATGTTGGCCATCATCAGGTAGGCCGACGCGTTCTCGGGCTCCAGCTTCACCAGCGCCTGGAAAGCAGCATTCCCAGCTGCGTGATTGTTCCACTTGTGACACGCCGCCAAGACGATCGTCCAAGTCATGGCCGTTGCTCTATACGGCATGGCCTCCACCATCGCCACCGCTTCGCTCACCAGGTTGGCCCTTCCCAGCATGTCGATCATGCAGTGGTAGTGCTTGAGCTCCGGCACCACGCCATACTTTGGAAGCATGGCCGCGAAGTAGTCCTTCCCCTTCTCCACCAAGCCGGCATGGCTGCACACGGACAGCACCCCCAGCAGTGCAACTCCATCCACCTGTAAGCCCTCCTTGCGCATCCCTTCGAGCAAGCTAAACACTTTCTCGCAAGCTCCCTGGCTGCTGTATCCGGCTAGCAGTGCCGACCATGCCACCGCATTCTTCCGGTCGCTGATGGAACCAAACAGCTCCTCGGCGTCGCTTATAGACCCGCATCTGCTGTAGAGTCCCACCAGGCAGTTGGACACGTATGGCTCGCACTCCACCCCCAGCCGGCAAACGCGAGCGTGGACGAGCTTTCCAGTCTCCAAGGCTGCCAAGCTGCTGCAAGCCGTGAGCACGGCGGCGAAAGTCCGGGTGTCTGCCGCCGCTGGACTGCTCTCGTTCTGCGTCATGCGTGCGAACAGCTCCGTCGCAAGCTCGGCTTCCCCGTTGTCTACGAGCCCAAGTATGAGAGCGTTCCAGGACACCACGTCGTGGCTTTCCATCCGGTCGAACACCTTCCGGGCATCCATCACGCTACCGCATTTGGAGTAGGCGTCAATCAGTGTGTTCTCCATGATAAAGTCGACGTCGCGGCAGCGAGAGTGGATGCTCATCACCTTCTCCAAGTAGTCCATCCCCACAATCTTCCTGTCGACTTGCAGCGCTTGAGCAGCACCCCTGCAGTCCTCCTCTTTCCTTGCAGCCAAAGAAGCAATGGAACTCAGCGCAGCGACAGAGGTCCGAGCGTTTGGCAGCAGCCCCCGAGTCTCCATGCAATGGAATAACTCCACTGCCGCTTCATCCTCTCCATTCTCTCCACAGGCCTGGATCATCGCTGTCCACACCACCGTGTCATGCCGCGGCATTCTGTCAAAGGTAAGCCGAGCATCCAGCACGCTTCCACACTTCCCATAAACGTCGACGAGACTGCTGGCTACGAATACGTCACAATCCCACCCGAACTTCGCAGCTTCACAGTGGATGGCCATGCCTTTGTCCAAACACGAGACTTTCACGAGCTTTCCATCAATCTGCTGCGCTTGATCCTTTGCTGCCAGTCCCGTGCAAGCTACCAGTGCTGTGACAAACGTCCGAGAGCTCGGAAGACACCCTACTTCTCTTTGCATGCACCAGAAGAGCTCCAAAGCTAGCTCGGCCTCGTCGCTCTCCGCGTAGCCCAGTATCAGCGCCGTCCAGCACACCGCATCATAGTGAGGTAGCCTGTCGAAGATTGCCCGAGCATCCGCCATGCTTCCACACTTAGCATACATCACCACCAAGGAGCTGGCCACGAAGAAGTCCGAAGAGTATCCGGACTTTAAAGCCTGCCTGTGAATCTCCATCCCCTTCTGCAAAGACTGGAGCTTCACCAGCTTTCCCGGATCCTCATACGAGCACTGGAATCCAACTTCTCTCGCAGCCAGGCCAGCGCAAGCCGTTAACACCGCCACGTAGGTGGAGCCATCGGGTAGAACACCATCTTCGCAGGAGCTCATACGTCGAAACAGCTGCAAAGCCATCTCCCCTTCCTCGTTGTCTATGCATCCCTGGATCATGGTGGTCCACGACACAGCATCCCGCTGCCTCATCTTCTCAAACACCTCTCGAGCACGGTCGAGCCTCCCACAGCTCGCGTACATGTTGACCAGCGTGCTTCCAACGTAGACATCCGACACAAAGCCCAGCTCCACGGCCAGAGAGTGCAGTCCCGCGCCTCTCTCCAGGCAAGCTTCTTTCCTCCACTTGTGCGTCACGGCTAGAGAGGCGCATGCCATCAACGCAGGCACAAGAGTCCGGGCGTTGACAAGACCCTCTTGCATCTGCATTCGATCGAAGAGCTCCAGCGCAAGCTCTTCGTCACCATTCTCGACGCATCCCAGCATGAGAGAGTTCCAAGACACCACGCTCGGGAGCGTCAACCTGGAGAAAACAGCGTAAGCCTCGGCCACACAGCCACACTTTGAGTACATACCAATGAGCGTGTTGGCCACGAAGAGGTTGGAGTTCCAGCCACACTTAGTCGCGAGAGCGTGAACAGCCATTCCTCTCTCCAAGCTCCTCGCCTTGACGATCCTCCCATCCACACTGCTGCCTCTCTCCCTCTCAGCCAGAGCCGAGCAGGCCATGAGAGCCGCCACAAAAGTCCTGGACGAGCACCGTTCCTCCAAAGTCTGATCGAGCGAGCCAGCTGCGATGAAATCGTCGAAGAGCTTGAGAGTGGTCTCGCTCTCTCCATTCACGGCGCAGCCCATCATCAGCGTGTTCCAAGACACTGCGTCGCGGCGAGGCATGGAATCGAAAGCTCGCTGCGCGTCCGGGAGGCTCCCACACTTGGCATACATGTTGACGAGGCTGTTCCCCACGTAGATGTCCGCCGCGAGGAGCCCAGTGGCCGCGACATCGCAGTGGAGCCTCCGCCCGAGATCCAGCTCCCGGCACCAGCTGCAAGCCTTGAAAGCTGCGAGTACCAGAGACACCACAGCCTCGGGAGAAATCCAAATCCCTTCCGAGCGATCTTCCCCGATCCACGAGTAGAAGCGCTTGCTGCTCCAGCGCCTGATCATTACCTGGATTGGGAGCTGCTAGGCCGTGGCTTCCTCGATCGCTATGGAGCGGCATTCTTCCTTCATCCCCTAGGGTTTCACGGCTCTAGGGTTTTGTTTCCCGCTTCTTTTCAAGGTTTCTAGGGTTCTTGGGTTTTGGCGATGGCGCTGGACAGTCGGCACCACGCGTTCATCCAATCGCTCCTGGCGCGGGGGCCGCAGCCGGCTGTGGATTGCAAGAAAATGTTCCAGAAGCTGTTCGATGCTCGACCCGGTAAGATTTTGCGCGCGCGCTGTGTGTTTTTCTCCTCATTCCTGCGACAGGAGAGGTCGAGGAGAATTTTTTCGATTTTCTCAAGGTGTACAACAAGCACCTCGATTTTTTCCAGCTCGAGATTAGGGGCAGCACCAATCAGCACGATGGAACCCAGTACTATGGAGTGGTGAACAAGCTTGCTAGTGAGCCAGCCAAGCTAGCGACGCAATACTCGGCCGCTCAGATCGCTTACTTCAAAGCTCTGGTAACTTTTCTCTGTCCATTTTTTTGTAAGTTTCTCTTGTGGATCACGAATGCAGGTGGAAGCCATCGTCCAAGAACCATCTGGCGAGCTGTCCAGTATAGATGCGCTCAATTTGCGAGAAGATCAAACTGTAAGTAGTGAAAAACTCGTTCTCTTTGCTCTTCCCTTCACTTTTATTTCTTACAGCGAGATTCACAAGAAGCAAGTTCCTCCCAGTCTGTATCTCTACCGAAGCTTAGTTTGGCTCAGCGTGACAAAGTTTTAGGCGATCTGGCTGCTGATAAGTGGCTCTATAGGACAGAAGATGGCGGTGTTTCCTTGGGGATTAAGTCTTTTCTGGAGCTCCGGAGTGTTTTCATGAACCTGGAAGTACCGTTCTGTGATGTCTGCAACGAAGCAGCGATAAAGGTGCGTGCGAGGATTCGTTTCTTCTTTTTCCGGTTTTATCGTCTCGCTTCTTATCGTCGTTGTCAAGCAGGCTATGCGGTGTCAAAACGAGGATTGCTCAGCTCGAATGCATAGTTACTGTGCTAAAACTAAGTTCCAAAGGCCCGAGGTAATTTCATTCTGATCGCTGTTTTACGATAATCCTGTGTGGTGTCAGATTCCGAGGTCTTGCGCTAGCTGTGGCTCCGAGTGGGATTGTGAAGGACTGGATCTGAATGAGGACATCCAGCCAGAGCCTGCCGAGAACGAGCAAAGGACCAGGAGACGGAGGAGAGCCAGAGGCTAACTTCTTTTCTTCTACAGCAACAGGGACGGCCATAGTAATCTAAGTAGAGGTTGCGACGGCCTTTACACCCTGTGAGTGACTTCTTCCACAAACTTGTACAATTTTCTAAGCTAGCTAACGAGGTTTAAACTGCAACCACTTGCAATGCATACGAAGTGTAAGCGTGCTGCAGGAGGACTCTGTCAAATAGTAACGCATTTTGTTGTGACGAACACTGCGCTGAAATCTTGGAGGGTTGCACTTGCAACTGTCGAGGTACTTGAAAGTTTCTAGCAACGGATGGTCGATTCCTGACATCTATCTTTATAGAACGGCAAGGACTGCAAGGACAAAGAACCAATCCCGAAGTTTTCTTTTTGGCTTTCTGCGTCACGATGGCACACTACTGCTGCCAAGAACGTCATAGCAAGTAAGAATGTCGACATAGAAAAATGAAATGGACGATGGTCTTCTCCCCAAACTGTGTTCTTTACAGCAGCTTGCGACCGCTTCGTCGCTATTCCATCATTTACAATACGAGCAAGAGCAGGAACTTTCTCGCCACAAATGATCGCAAGCTCGACCGTTATCTCAGAAATCTTTACCGCTTTGGCGAAGCACCTCGACCCGGGCATTACGGTTCCAGATTCTTACCGCTTCGAAGAAGTCCGTAGTAAACGAAGCTCCGGCCGACACGTTTTCTCTCTTCGTTTTTCCTGCTCGTTGGGAAGTTGGCGACGAGCCTCGCGTTCACGAGTACAGGAAAGACCGCACGTATGGAAAGCTGGCCGGGATGAAAGGGCTCACAGCAAACCTTATCTTATAAAAACGATTCTTGCCGTTGGCAAGCTTACAGTTTAGCCACTCAAGCACAGGTCCGAGGAGCTAGTATACTTCCCATCCACCAGGACCTCCTGCGTCCACTGACCTTGCACCACCGGAACTTCTCCTGCTTTCCAAACACACTCCAATCCCTGGATCACCCACACCTGCAGCACCTCGTTGTATATCACATTGCTCCATTCCAAGTCCCTGTGAACGAGCCCGGCTCCATGGAGAGCATCCAGTCCCAGCAAAGTATGCTTCACTGCTTGCACAAGCTGTTCTTGCTGCGTTGGACGTGCTGGGAATCCAAACACCTTGCTCTGGACCCTGTAAACGTCGTCCCGGACTATATCACGTTGCCAGTCCAAGCGAGCTACATGCCGGGATTTCACACTGTAAGCTCTCTCCACGTATTCCATCTTGGAGTATCCGTGTAGCTCGTGTAACTTCCATGGCTGGATCGTTTTGATGGCAATCCCGTCTACTATCTCTAGTTTCCTGGTGATGTTTCCATTGCCATAAACATGACTTGCCACGGCCTGGTATGGCATAAGCATCGTGTGGTTGGACTCCTCCAAGACCGATAACCACGAGAGCGCGATCCTGATGAGATTTGTGGAGCTTTTGATAGCTTCATACCTGGAAGAAACGTAGCCGATGTCGAGCAGTGGCGAGAGGACCATATCCCCATCCGGCCAAAACACTCCAAACCTGTGAAAGCACCGTGAGAGCTGCAAGTAGCAAGAGGAGCGCAAACTTACCTGAGCATTCTAGCGCCAGTGGCTGCTCCAAGGGTCCAATCCAAGCCGCGATGGAAGCACGGACTTATATTGCCTAGGCTGTATGCCAGGGTCGACCACGCTGATCCAAGCTCCTCACGACGAGCGCGGTGCTCGCTCTTGAAAACCAGCCTTTTCTTGGCAAACAAGAGGAGATCCGGCCAAGACTTTGTCTCCGCTTCGTCCATGGTCACGGAGTTTGTGCCTGGAGCTAGAACTTCCTGCATTGTTGGATCCAGATACCGAAGGCACACTTCCCACATTCCTGTCAAGCACAGGCTGTGGAGATCCTCCCAGCTTGGAAACTGGTAGCCGCGATTCAGCACAAGTGACGCAACCGTGGAGACGTCCTCGGCCTGGCATTCCGCCGGCGAAGCAAAGAGCGCCGCCGCCTTGTCACGGCCAAACACACCCTCTAGCTGCGCTAATCGCTTCCACGATACCGGCAATCGCTCCAGCAGTGGCGCCCCTAGTGCCTTCTCCAATTGCCAAGGCTCGGTGGGTGGCGGCTCCATCGCGCGGCACACACGCCGCACCCATTCCATGTCGTCCATCAGGGATTGCTATTAGGGATTGCGCAGCCTGACCTAAAATCTTTCTATGCCTAGGGTTTGAAAGAGGGCTTCGAGTGATGGACAGTGAGCTAGCTAAACGAGTGGGAGCGCTTGAGCAGTTGAATGATCATGAGAAAGGGGAAGCTTTTGTGCTTCTTTCAGGGATGGCATTAGCGTCGGTGCAGGCTCTGTCAATGTTGCCGGATGGCGCGTTCGTGGCTGCCTTGAAGTTAATGCCCCATCTAGATCGAGATAGCGAATGGGCAAATACGGTATGCATTCCTTTCGAGAAGATTTCTGTGTCTATTCAACATCTAGAGCTTATCATCAATACTCCACTCTTGGCTCCTTTGCCTGTATCAAGAAAAAGGTTTTACAATGTCATGAAACCTTTTTTTTTATACAGGCAAAAAAACCAAGAGTGGAGCATTGATGACAAGTTCTAGATCTTGAATAGATACAGAAATCTTCTTGAAAGGAATGTATATCATATTTGCCCATTCCTCATCTCAATCTGGACAAAACATCATTTTCAACACAACCACGAACACGCCATCTGGCAACATTGACAGATTCTACACTAATGCTAGTGCCATCCCGAACACAAAAACTTCTCCTTTCTCATGGTCATCCAACTCTTGAAGCTCTCCCACTCGTTTAACTAGTTCCCTATCCATCACTCTAAGGCCTCTTTTAAACCCTAGAAAGGTGTAAATGAATGGAGCAAAACCTTTCACAATATAATAAGTAGAATGAAATAACATAAGCACTCCTTGTTTAGCATGGTGTAAATGTTTAGTTGTAGCTTTTGAAATCAATTGTTACTTCCCACGGCACACCTCTCTAGCAAATGCAGACTCCTTGTGATTTTCAAAGCTAACATGATTGCATAAGGCACTCTTTTGAAAATTACTGCTACCCTATTTGCCAAAAATATTCTTAGTCCGTGGATTTGCCTTGCAAATCTTGCAAAACATTGTGCCTTCAATTGCATCAAATTCTAATCAAAAATAGCTCTGCTTCCAATGCTCTTTAAAATGCCTTGATGTTGTATCATCATCCAATTCCTCAATATCATCCTCAATCTTGTTTGCACGGCAACTTTTCAAAAACTTAGATTTAATTGCCTCCCAGAAGCAAGATCAACAACTAAGGGATGCTTCTTTTTACCTAGAGGTAATTTCAGCATTCTACCACATAACATGCAATGTCTCACCTAAATAGCACGTAGTGTCTCACCAAGTTGGCTCTTGCTCCCAAAAATGACTTACCTACTCCACTGACAGGTGATATATAGCATATTCTACTAACATGTTTAACACTAAATTTAATGTACTTATATTTAATTAATTAATATGGGTTAAAAAAACATTTTCTTATTAAAATACCCAGGATAAAATCCTCTTATACATGACTTTTTTCCAGGCTGTAGATCCTTCATGGTTTGATCTGCCCAGGAGTTTTTAAAAAGTTCTAGGTTTTTATATGGGAGAAGGAGGCGTTTGTCAACCGCTGGAGCTTTCATAGCAAAAGCAAAGGAGTTATTTGTTACTCCTGATCGCTTCTTTGCAGAAGACATCAGTGGGCTTGCTTCTCTCATACTCAGCCACAGTCGATCACTCAACGCCAATGCCTTGGAAGGAGTTTACGATCTTTCGTTGCCACACTTGTGGAACCTCTTTGTTCCAGTGCTTGGGGTTTGGGCTATCATTGTGAATCGCAACTTCTGTGATCATTCATCCTCGACGTCCAAGAGAACCAAGCTGAACTTGCTGTTTTGGGTCTACAATCACTTGGTTTTGAAGGCAATTCCTTCATCCAGTTAGCTTTTGTAATGCTTTCTGTGACAAACCGAACATAAGCACTACGAGGGCGAGCTCTTTGAAGCATGGGATGACTTGTGAGCTAAATTGATGTCGCTCAATAAGATCTTCTATGGGAAGATCGAGTGGATATTGGGCCTTGCAACAGCGGCAGGGAAGTTCCAATTTGGAGCCTTCAAGAGGGGTGAACATCAACACCTTACACCTGAATGGAACCTTGAAAGCATCAAAGATCGGTACTCTCTGCTCAAAGCCTCCATCAACATTCTCAGAGTCACACTTTCGTGGCAGGCGGTTTTCGAAGAGCATCCCATGCGACGCCCTTTCGCTTCCTTTGAACCAGCAACATAATGGAGAGCCGTGGTCTCCAGTGATGAGGAGCTTCGCTGTTATCGATGGTGTTCCAACAAAGACAATTTGGCCATGGTCCGCACACGTTGGTTTGCACCTCACGAAGATGGAGTATCTCTGACAAGCATATAACCTGGACAACACAGCAAAGACATTTATCAGTGGAATTACGTCTGTGAAGTAGGGGCGGAGGGCAGACATTTACACTGTTGAGATGGAAGTGCTGGGTATCTCCCAGTCTCCACGAGACCACGAACTTAAAGCTGCCGTCCTTGATATGCTCAAGGCACTGTAGTCTCTCCACGAGCATGGCTTTGTTTATCGCGATGTCCGCTGGAAGAATGTGGTTCTCAAGATGTCAGAAAAGTACTGGGTTCTAATTGATCTCGAGACGGTGTGGGTGGACAACTGTGTTCCGAAGTGTCGACCACTCCAAGCCTGGAAGCCAGGCACACTGGACAATGATGGAAGATATACAGCAGCTTCCAATCTCTATCTCGTGGGCTTCATGCTTTTTCGCTATGAGCTAACGGTGGCAGGGAAAGCTTTTCAAGATTCTTTGCTGCGGAAGGAGTTCCAGAGTGCCGAGGCAGCAATCACAGCTCTGACATCGTTGGAACTGAGCAAGGTAGTGTTATAAGTGAGGAGGCTCGCAATCTTGAAATGTTCTTCACTTTGATTTGAGTGTTCTTTCTAAGACTTTAGTTTTAGCAACAATGTGAATTTGAAAATTTGAAATGTGCTCTAGTTTTTTGCTGTGAGCAAATTCCAAGCATATCCTTTACTAGATACGGTCAACCTTCCATTGACGTGGATTTGAAAAGTTGACGGCATTGTTTGGCGTGAAAGAGCTTGACCAATTCTCGTCTTGTTACATAGATAGAAGGAGGCTCGCAATCTTGAAATGTTCTTCACTTTGATTTGAGTGTTCTTTCTATGTGAACTTGAAAATTTGAAATGTAGAATACATTGTTTTTTTATGTGAGCATATTCTAAGCATATCCTGACTACGGTCAACCTTCCATTGGGATTTGGAAAGTTGACAGCATTGTTTGGAGAGAAAGACTTGTTACATAGATAGAAGGATCATCATGCTTTCAACAAAACACGGATCATGTCGAGATATGTTACCATCCCAATCAGCATGTGTTCCTCGTCCGTCACCCAAAGGTACGTCCTCCGGAACGCCAGCGCCTGGGCCATCACCGCCACCAGCGAGCTCCACGGATGGCAGCACAGCGGCGAAGACCATGGCGGACACGCCCTCTGGAACTTGGCACTGTTGGTCCGCCCGCGAGGAATGGAGCCAGTGCTCGCAGTCTCATCGTCCGACAACGACGAATCCAACACACTCCCGCTGCTGCTGCTGCTCGTATCACTGTCGGAGAAAGAAGAATCGATCGCCATTCCCAGCTTGACGCGCTCGTAGCTCAGATCCTTGCTCGTCTTGGCCTCGAGCCCCGAGAGTATCAGTTCCTTGAGCGACTGTGGAGCTCCGGCTATGTCCTGGACGTAAGTCATGAAGTCCGCCACCGAGAGGGACGCCAGTGCCAGTGCCGCGGTCTCGTCACAGCAGCTTCCCAGGCTCGCGAGAGAGATGTCGCCCACGATCTTGAGCCCCTCGTCTCCGTCGCTGCTGTAATCGGCCTCCACCACCGCGACCGCGGACATCTGCTGCGAGGCTCGGATCATCAGCGGCAGTGCGTCCGAGGCCTTGGCGTTTGCGTCCACGAACATGACGTCTCGGTCTATGATTCCCAGCTCCTCGATGCTCATCATCGGGATGGGCGAGAAGACGCCGATGCAGCCGAGCAGGAAGCGGAGCACGTCTTCCTGGGTGAGCCAGCAGAAGTCCATCCGCTTGTACGTTTCAATCGCGACGGCGGCAGCAGCAGCAGTACTGGTGGACTTTCGCAAAGCCAAAGAGCTGAGTTTCAAGGATTTGCTACGTCGGTTGTCGAGCGGGACGATGAAACACTGCGCACCATCGAGAATAAGATTAAACGCATCTGTGAGCCTGGAACGCAGCAAAAACAAATGTGAGTCGCGGAAGAAGAACAAGATATAAAACCAAACCAGCCAACTAAATCTCTAGCTAGCTTAAGGAAATCATCTCTTTCTCGCTCGAAATTCAGCTACTTAGGAATTAGAAAGTTTACCGATGCCAACGAGCGTCTAAAAAGTACTCCTGGATTTGCACCAGCAAAGTTGAAGAGAGACAGAGAAACAAAAGCTCTGAGTCTCGTTTTACCATACCAAACCATATCAATACCTCTCAAGAAAAAACTAAACCAAAATTCCAATTTTTTTTTTTTTTTCCATGGTTACGTTACCGAGCCAGAGATTCTCCAGATCATCTACGAAGGTCCTAGTTAAGTGGCTCAAATCAAACAAATCGTTAGCTTCCAACATCGCAAAGAATGTGAAAACCATCGACACGATACATAGGACCGACCATAAAGAAGGGAAAGAGGAGAAAGAGGAAGAGGAGATAGAATATAAGTACCTGGCGTGGAGATCTACATGGCGAATTTGGCTGCGCTTGGCCGGAGTGAGAAGAACCGACACTGGATCCTTGGCCGCCGCCTCGATGCTGTGGACCTTGTCCTGGGCCGCGTAGTAGCAAAGAATATCGAGGGAGTTTACCTTGCCCACGCACTGGCATTCCCGGCACTCCCACTTGCGGATCCGGGCCTCACACCGCTGATCCGACGCGCAATCCCACACAGTGATCTCCGCGAGCCCCAAATCCCTGAGCATACACAGCGCATCACCGACGGTGGAAGTGATTGGAAGGCCGTAGATCCCAGGCTTTCCGAGCGCAAGATCTGCCGCCCCAAAAGTGTGGAAGAAATCGGCCATGCAAATCCCAGCCGCCAAGAAGGAGCGCTCGAGCTCGATAGGAGAAGAAAGAAGCCCTGTGGATAGAAAACTAGAGGTACCGATGAAGCTTCACTCTCTCCCCTGGATTATACCCCAAGAAGCTCGATTACTGCCGCTATTTCGCGAGATTCCGAGGAGATCGAAAGAGAGGATCGAGCACGCAAACTGGATGGGAGCGAATGCGCGAGCAAGCGCCATTAAAGGGCTGCGTGCCAGGACGACGCAGTGTGGTAGCTGGCGAGGACCATTGATGGAGACAAGAGCTGGGAATTCTTTTCCCCGGATTGAGAGAAATGGCGATCGAGAGATCGGATCGGACAAGCGAAGAGGAAAAAGAGGGAAAAAAAGCTGTGCTTGCTGTTGTGACAGAGAAGACGCACTGGCCCACTTTGCCCTAAGATACTTATTAATAATGGGCAGTCCACCGTTGGATCCTGGAGATGGAGCCAATCGCAGCCGTTGGATGCGAAGCTTGCGAGACACGTGCTTAGATTTGCTCAAACCCAGGATTAAACACGCGTACGTCGTTTGTAGGAAAAAGGACTACGTATACGCACCGTACTTTTTCTTGACTCTTTCGATCTCTCCATCAGATCGACTGCTTTTGCATTCGAGAGATGGGTAAAAGAGAGATTTCTCTTTTGTCCCTGGATCCTGGACCACAGCCAAAGTTTGAGTTAGAACAAAAGCCTTTAATGCAAGGCTACGTACCCGAATCGAATGAAATGGAGTAACCGATTAAAGTGTAGATTCATTCATCGTTTTCCTCTTATCTCGATCTTCTCAATCTTCATTTCTTCCTCCCCTCGATCGTCTTCTTCCTCCTCACCTGGAAATCATTTAGAATACAACTTACACTTAATCGATTCTTCTTACTTTCGGAAGTTGCTGGAGCTCTCCATGGAAGAGGACGTGACTTTGCGAGCTCGCAGACGAAGGCCCGGCACCACAGATGCCACTGCCTGGATTGTTGGCAAAAGTATAGCCCGGCGCTGTTGGAGCATTGAGATTTTCTGCGTCAAAAGCTGTGCCTTGTCCCTGGATCCTGGAGCAAAGCCAAACGAGAAAAGTCTGAGAAGACTTTTTGGATTTAAAGATAACAAGCACTACCTGACCCGTTCCTTTCCAGCACCAGCGCAAGCTCCGCTCTCTTTTCAACCAGCTCGGCTCTCAAGTCCTCGAAGCCGGCGAGAAGATGGTCCATCCACGCAACTTCGTCCGCGATAACGTGTGAGAACTCGGTCTCGGAGGAGTCAAGAAACTCCAGAGAAGGTGCTGTTGCCGTCGCTGTCCTGGTGAGAAGTTCCTTGGAGTCCTTGTTGAGTCGCTTTTGGAGCAAGAGGTATGGATCGCTATCGTCCGGTCTGGTTGGGAGTGAGAAAGAAGGCAAGTAGTCCCGGGTCCCAGATTGTGCGGACAAGCTGGAAGAATCGAAAGCTGGAGACTGTGAGAGTAAGGAGTGTCTTACGTCGGTGAGTGGCAGGGCAGGCCTTCGAGGAGGTGGACGCAAGCGTCCATTCTTCATGCCTTTGGAATCGTTTTCAAACTGTTCTAGCAGCTCCGTTCCAGTGGTCTCTCTAGATCGAGATAAGTCCGGCACTTTCACTGCGTGGTCTTGCTGCTGCTGTGGACTCAGGCTTTGGGACTTCCTGCAAAAAGGACGATGAAGCGTACTGCAAATCAAAAGCGTATCTGACGTACCTGACTGAACTCTTCGACTTTTGGACTTGAAACCATCCCAGGAATGCGAGTCTTTGGAGAAGTTTGGTGTAGAAAACTCCGGCTTGATGCTTGGACGATAATGGCGCTTGTAGATTGTGCCACGCGCGGAGAACAGCTCGAGCACTGTGCTCTCTACAGAAAATCTCGGCCTTCTCGTACTTGCGACTCTTTGTTACACCATCTCGTACAAACCTTTGCCAGAGCTTCCATGTGTTGGCTAGCCTCGACGAATCCAGTAACTCCATGAGCTCCTCACATTGTTTTTCCATTGCCATCTTTCTCCTTTTGCGTCCTCGGACAAAACTTATCCAAGCAGATAATCCCTTCCTAATAACCAGTTCAACCCGTCCATCCCTTGCTTTGTCTATCATATCTCTCTTTCTCTTTGAAGCCGAGCTGAATTCCATCCACCTGTGAAATATCCCTTTCAATCTAAAGCCCCTCCACTGTCTAGAAGCCAATCCCTGTTTCTCTTGGCGCGACTTGTTCCAGTAACAATAATCTATCCACCGGTACAAGGAGTTCATCGCAGTGCCAGACTCCCAGTGCTTCGTTGCTAAGCTTTTACACCTTTGTTTGGAAGCTTTCGACGTTTTGTACCGCAGCCACCATCTCATGCAGCTTCGTAGCCTGTAAAACGTCCAGTACCTCACTGCCTTATTTTGTTGCGCTCGTCGAAACTTGATAGAGAAATGATACTTTATCCAGCATTGCAGGGATTCATGCAGGATATTAAATAGTACTTTGTCGCGATAGAACGTGTCGATGGTTAGCTTGGATGAAGAACGTGACTTTGCTAGTTTCGACCAAGCACATAAGATGTGCCTCTGCAGAAACAGACAGTCATGATCTTCAAGTTCGAATAAATTCTCTAAACTACCTGTTTTTTCCTCTTGAAATGGCTGTCCACAACAAGAAAAAGCGTGTCTTTTTCAAGCAGGGAATCCACGGAACTTTCGCTTTCTAAAAGGATAAGGGTTAGAGCAAGACGAAAGAAAACAGTGACAAGCCTGCCTACCTGAATCTGAGACAGAAAGAGATTTCCGTGTCGAGTACCAAAAATGGAAACACATTGATAAATTTTTAAGCCGCCGTGCCTCGGTTATCGATGCCTTCTCGTGCTTCAGTACCAGGAAACAATTCCATGCTCGCAAGGCGAATCTCTGTCGGCTAAAGTTCCACTTAGCATAAGCGACTTTTTTGTAGAACTCCTTCTTTTGCTTTTCCTGACGAGCCATTTTCCAGTCACTGAAACACCTTGACAGCGATGAAATCATATGGTAATGAATGGCCGTGCACATATGTTTCTGATGCATGAGACGAGTATCAGCGTACTCGCGCCATGAGAACATTATGTTCCTTGTCTTCCTGGCTGAAAAAGACGTTGAGGAAGAACAAAAACATGAGTAAGCACTGGGGATACCTGACCATGACTGAGAGAAATAAATCTGACAAGCTCGAAGCCTTTTCCGGCGTCTGACGAAGTTCCTCCATGGTCTAAAATGTCTTCGGGACAGACATATCGGAAATAACAGCTCCACATTCCTGGCTATGGCTGCGTTTTCTTTGGCAGCGTCCCTCCAGTGAAGAAACGCATTCCTACAGGGTTTGGTTTCTTAGCCTGCTTTCCAGTGCTGATTATTAGAGTGATTCATTTGGTCCGAGTTTTAAAGTTCTGCTATGTGCTTTTGTTACCATTGAGCGCGAGCTTCCCAGATCCTCCACACTTTCAAAGCTAGAATTCTCTAAAACAAAAACAAAGTCATCAGTGCTCTACTGATTCTCTAGCTTCTTACCGATCGAGCAGCGTATTTCCACTGCTCAGTCACGATCCTCGCCAATCTTCTCCGGTGCCGTCGATACGCTCTTGAAAACGAAAGAAAAAAACAAGATGATCACACCAGAAAAACAAAAGTTTCTTACTTCTTTTCTTGTTGTAGCGAGGCAACCGAAACTCCCGAAGAGAAACTAGGCGTGACTGAGAAAAGCGATGAGAATGTGGGAGAAGTAACGAATCCCACAGAGCTAGACTCTTCGGACGCGATCGCTTCGCCGGAATCCATTCTCGAGGTGGAGCGATCGTCGGAATCCTCCCTGCTGAGCTCGGAGCTCCCAGATGCATCTCCCTCTTCTTGGATCTTGCGCTTCATCCAAGATTGATCTAAAACTAGGGCTAGGGTTTACAGTTTTTACGGTCCAAGAGCTATGGAGGTCGAGGAGCGCCAAAGCGAGCTCGTGGAGCAGTTCGTGATGCTCGCCAAGAGCGCGCGGGGCCGGGCGGCGGCGGAGCTCATCGCGCACGCAACCTCACATCCGTCGCTCTTCGCCTTTGCGGAGCTCCTGGCGATGCCGCACATCGGCGAGGTTTGTGTTCTATCGATCAATTCGAGCCCTTTTCTTACGGCCTTCGCGTTTCTTTCTGGGATAGCTTCAAGGCACTGAGCATTCGAGCTCGCTAGACGTTCTCAAGCTCTTCGCTCACGGCACTTGGAGCGATTATAAGTGTGAGTGGATTATTTTTCTTTGGAGTGGAGCTAAAAAGAGTTCTTCCACAGGCAATGCCTCTAACTTGCCGCAGCTTCTTCCACAACAGCAGCTAAAGTTGAAGCAGCTCACCGTTCTAACTCTTGCCGAGACCACGAAGGTAAACTTTGAGCTATGAAGTTTTTCTTCCTTTAGGACGACTCACATTGTTCTCTAGGTTCTTCCATACGATCTTTTGATGCGGGAACTGGATGTTTCGAATGTAAGGGACCTGGAAGATTTGCTCATCAACGACTGCATGTACGCTGTGGGTGAACTAGCTACGGACATTTTTTCCAAGTTTCTTACATGGTTTTTTTTTCTTTCGGACTTTGCAGGGCATCGTAAGAGGGAAGCTCGATCAATGTCGTCGCTGTTTTGAAGTACTGAGAATGCCAATGTAAAATTCGTTCCCAGTACGAAGTAGTGTTTATTCTTATTTTCTCGTTTTGCAGGTGAGCTTTGCCGCTGGGAGGGATTTGAGGCCCGGTCAGCTGGAGAACATGATGCAGACTCTGGAAAACTGGTAATCACTAGTCATTCAACTTGAGCTTTTCTCATTCCTTGTTTCCATTTTTTCGATTCTTCAGGCTGGCAAAGTCGGAATTCCTTCTCAGCAACATCCAAGAGAAGATCAAGTGGGCGGATGGAATGAACGAGAGTGACAAACGGCACAAGAAGGAAGTGGAAGAGAAACAAGAGGAAGTCAGGAAGAGTGTCAAGGTATCCTCGTTTAATCTTTGCAGCTTCAAAAACAAACTTTGCTGTGAATGAATGAATAGGCCGAGCTCGAACTTCGCGGCCACCAGGAGCTCGCGTACATGGAATCCGGCCCACTGGTTGTAAACTACATGGACGAAGAGCGTGCTCGACCAAAGAGGTAGGCTCTCTTCGATTTTGCAAAGTTTTCTCTAGTAGTGTGGAAGATTTATTTGCTTCTTCATGCGCAGAAGGCGATAGAAATTTTTTCCAGGAAGAAGAAAAAAAGAGAGACTCGCTCGTTCGTACTACCTAGGCTGCTCTAGCTGAATTTTTGGAAAACCTTTCTATGGCTCTAAAATTCTTTTCTAAGTTTGAAAATTGGCGGGAAGAGTTTTTGACTCGACACGTGGTGTGGTGTCCGCCGTTTGATCTTTCGAAGAACCCTAGCTTATCTAGCTTATGGAGGAAGCGAGGAGCGCTGGAAGGCATGGCAAGATCGCGCTCAAGGAGCTCACGCAGTCGCCCGGGAGGTATTTGCTTCTTAGTCCCAACGATGATGGCCTCGAGCGCCGCCAAGCGCGGCTTGCTCGAGCTCAAAAGAGGAGGTCGCTTGCGTTTGGCGAGAGCGAAGGCGGAGAGGGATCTCCTGCTCTTCCTGAGAATCCTTCGCGGAGCGAGCAGATTCTCACGCCAGACCAGGTTTTGGAGCTTCTCAATAACTGCATCAAGCTTGCCGCTGAGAATGTAGGCCGATTTCTTTCATCTGCTGTGGGGGTTTGTGACGATTTCTCTTCCTTTTCCAGAAAATTAACCAGCAGAACACTTGGGATCTCAAGCTCATAGATTATCTTCCTCACATTGTCAAGGCTGACAACAATGAAGACACACAAACGAATTTTCAAAAGGTTTGGTCTGGTCGTTCTCTCTATTATAATTTTTTTGCTTCTTTCTTGTTCTTGTTGCTTGATCTGGTTAACTCTAGGCTAGCTGCACGTTGGAAGCCAGCGCCAAAATCTATTCTTGTCGAGTGGACTCCGTCCACACGGAAACTTATAAAGTTCTGGGAGGCCTTCATCGAAGTGCCAAAGAGAAAAATGGTACATATGCCTCCATCTCTACGGCATTTTGATATTCTTTTTTTTGCAGACACGCCCGAGGCTTGTGAAAACGGTGGTACTGAGCAGCAGCATGAACACCACAAAAGAAAGGATTGTCACAAACAAACTTTAGAGTCTTATGAGAGCTTGAATGTGAAGCATTTTGATGGTATGGTGAGCAAGCTCAGCTTTCATTTCCTATGATTCTTGGCAATGATATTTCTGTTTTCAGCTGCTATGAATGTGGATCCTCTATTTCATCAAACATCAGCACAGTTTGATGAGGGTGGAGCAAAAGGTCTTCTTCTTAACACCCTAAGCGTTTATAGAGGGTGTGAGATTTTATTCGACTCTCAAGATATCCCGGAGAAATGTATGAAAGTCGAGCTGCCAAAAGATCCAGCTAGAATTGACTTATCATTTGCGTCAGGTATGTAAAACTTTGTTCCTACCGGATGCTGCAGCCTAAGTCTGTCTCTTTTGTGTCAGATGTGATTGAAAAAATGCTTTCGATAAAGGATACGGAAATATCTCCTTCTCTTTCTGAAATTGTGCAGCTTATCGATGATCCTCTTCGCAAAGCTGCCACCTTGGATGCTGAGTTTTCAACGTTCGAAGCGTATCATCCAGAAGAAGACGCTCAAAATGACGGATACGCAAGTCCACACTCAACCATTGATGCAGAGCCCATGTATGACGATGGCCCGAATGATGGATACGCAAGTCCGGCGTCCACAACGTCCAACTCGCCCCAAGAGGATGGCTTGCATGGATCGGTTGAATATCTTTCGTGCGATCCAGAAGACACGATCGATTGGCTGAAAGAAGGCCTGGGCATCCCCAGCGGGAAAAACTTTTGGGCCGGGGCTGACTACTGGAAATTTACGAGGCCAAAAGGCAAGTATCTTTACGTCCTTGCTTCTTGTTTTCTGATTGATTTCAACAGATGATATGTCGGAGGCTACGGAAAAGAAACCAACCAAGAAGAAAAAGGAGCCTTTTTCTATAATCTATACCTGTGCTCCCGAAATGGAAACGCACGCATTCGCCAAGCCTCGTGACTTACGAGCAAATCTGCTGCCACAATCAAGGCAATCTGCAAGCACGACACTACCCGAGGATTTACGATATGAAGCTGATGATCTGCTTCGACTTTTCCTTCGACCTTCAAAGATGGTAGGCCATTCCGATTTTTCCACTCAGTTTCTTCATTATATGCTTTCAGCTTATACGGCCACGCTCTAAGTCGAAAGTCGACAACGCCTCGGAAACTTGGGGCGGCGACGCTGGAGACTTCTGGGACGGTGGGAGCATCCACAGCGATGTTGAAGACAACAACACGGATGAGTTAGTTGTCCAGCCAAGAAAGGTGCTTGCAGCATTTCTTCTCCTTTTGAATGCTGAAAACTTCCACAGGTTCAAAGAATCGAAGTAAACTACGACAAAACCTCCAAGCAAGTTGACGTGCGTGCATTGAAACAGAGCATCTGGGACCATCTCCAACACGAGGCCACAACCGAGCTCCAAGAGGTTCTTTCTTTTCTTTCTCTTTGAGCCGGAGAGTAAATCTTCCCTGGAAACTCAACAGGACATCGACACCGAAGATCACGGGATCATACACTTCAGCGACGTGCTGAGCAAAATCCCGGGCGACTGCGCTGCGAGTGCCGATCCAGGAGACTTATCTGTCCACCTCTGCTTCATTTGCCTGCTCCATCTAGCAAACGAGCACGGACTGGTGATCAAGGGGTGTTCAACCATGGACGAGCTACTGATCGAGAACGTACGCCACTAAAACGAGGTAAAGCCTTCCGAGTTCTTTAAAGTTAACTTCTATCCGGTTGTTCCAGCGACATTGCAATCCGGCGGAGTTCGTTGTATTCTTCCTGGGTGATAGTCCAGCGCACGCCATCGCCCAGTTTACACAAACCCGACTCATCACCACAAAACAAACCGGGACCCTCGTTGGTGGTGGTTTGGTTCCTGTTATTAGCAGAGATTGCCTAAGGTGGATGACGAGGGCAACAAGATTGGAGGCGCGACGAATGCGCAAAACTGTGAGCTTTGTTTTCTTAACGAACCTTTCAAGTCTATATGACCCGGTGGAAATTTTACTCTGTCCAGGACCAGTGTTCTTCCTTCGCAGGATTGGATCGCAATCTATCTGTTCTTTGTGCTCTCTTTGCAAAGCTGGTTGATCACCCTACGTTTTCTATCATGGGATCAAAGATGACACAGCCTTTATACGACACGTTAAAGGTACTAGAACTTGGTTAGCCCATACGACACTTCAGCACGCTCTTCCAAAAACAAGCGACCAGAAACAAGAATGGATGTACTTATAGAGGGACTTCGAAGATACATATCGGATCAGTACTGCAAACTTAGTTGACACAGGCGAACTTGAAAGACTTGATTGGGCTGGAGCTCCCCACTGCACAAACTTCTCGGGTGGAATTCAAGACCGTGGTCGTGCCAAGGCAGTTGGGCAGGCTAAAGAGGAGGCCGAGCTGCCCATCGAACCTGAATCTATAGCCAAGGGGGATGTCAACCAAGCAAGTGCTGGAGCACGAAGAACCGGCTGTTGATGCAGTGAAGCTTGTTCCGGGATCTTGGCACCCCACCGTGAAGACATCCAGCGTGCTGTTTGCTTCGATGCACACCACCAACAGCGAGGCGATGAGCACAAACTTGTGGAGATTTCCCTGCACAATGTGAAAGATCGGGATCAGCAAAAGTCGTCCACTCTACTCTAGAACCCAAAGCAAACCATGTTGACAAGGTGTCGAAAACTTCGAGAGTCTAGCACGAAAGTAGTTGGATCGAGTCCATTGAGGAGTGCCAAGTTCTCCTGCAGAGCATGATGAGCATCAAGCCTAGCAAGAAAGTGGATGAAAGTAGTGATCGATATGCTTCCCAGATCTTTGGACGTGATTATGTCAATGATAAGCCCAAATGCCGACCTCTTCCAGCGTAGCTTTAGAAGCTCCTTTGCCGAATCGCTGAGAGCTTGCGGCGCTGCCGGGGATCTAGACCGCGCGCGGCGCCTCCACGCCGGGATCCTGTCCCTCTCGAGCAGTGCCGATCGCCCAGCAAGCGTCTATCTCTTGAATCTGGTCGTGGAGATGTATGGCCAGTGTGGCAGCGTGCGCGATGCCAAGGCCGCGTTTGATTCGATCCAGGAGAAGAACCAGTATAGCTGGAACATCCTCATCGCGGCTTTCGCAGCGAATGGAGAGATCGATGAGGCGCTCGCGGCGTTTGAGAGGGCGCCGAGCGTGAATCTGGTGACCAAGAACAGCATCCTGGGGGCATTTGCCCGGACTGGGGATCTGGAGAGAGCGAGGAGATTCTTCCGGGAGGTGATGCCCTTCCACGACATCGTCTCGTGGACCGCGATGATCACAGCCTGTGGCAGTGCTATTGCCGAGGCTCGAGAGATCTTCGAGAGGATGCCCGAGAGGAACAAGGTGTCCTGGAATGCGATGCTCGCGGCGCTTGCCTCGGCTGGAGAGATTGGCGATGCCGCTGCGCTCTTCGATCGGATGCCTGTCAGGGATCTCATCTCCTGGACGGCGATGGTCCAGTGCTGCTGCCTCGGCGGAGATCTTCCATCGGCGAGGAGATACTTCCACCAAATGCCTCGCCACGACGCCATTGTCTGGAATGTGATGATCGAAGGCCACGCCCAGCGCGGCGAGCTGGAAGAGGCCAAGGATCTTCTCGACGCGATGCCACACCCCAATGTCATCTCTTGGACGAGCCTCGTCACGGCCTACGCTAGGAGCGGCGATCTGGATGGAGCCAGGATGATCTTCGAGAGAATCCCCCGGCACGACCACGACGAGCTCTCCTGGAACGCGATGATCGCAGCGTATGCGCAGAGTGGCAACGTTGCCGAGGCGGAGGAGCTGATCCAATCCATCGATGCCGAGAATTTGGAGGAGCTAGAGGAGAGAATGCGCCATCTGGATCAAGATTATCGGCCCGGGCACGAAGATCTTGAAGAGCCTGGGGTTTCTTCCGGGAGAATCAAGGCCGCCGCGCCCTGGAACAAGATGATCGCGGCGCTGGTGAAGAAGAATCACCTGGAAGAGGCGCGCTGGGTCTTCGATCGAATGCTAGAGCCGGACATCGCCTCGTGGACGCTCCTCCTCTCGGCCTACTTCCAGCGCGGCCATCTCCAAGAAGCCCAGAGCATATTCGACGCCATGCCGGCGAGAGATGCCCGGGCATGGACGGTCCTCCTGCGGGGATATGCCCAGCTCGGGCATGTCCATCACACGTGGAGGCTCTTCGCCACGTGTCCAAGTCTGGACACTGTCACGTGGAGCGTGGCCATTGGCGCGCTCGCCTCGAGCGGCTTGCTCGTGGAGGCGGTGGAGCTCTTCTATGGGATGCTCTGCGAGGGAGAAAACCCTAGCGAGGCCACATACGCGGCAGCGATCAGCGCTTGCGTACACTTGGGATTGATGGAGGAATCCCAGCGTCAATTCCGCAGCATGGTGTTGGATCTGGATCGCGCGCCCAATGTGAAGCTCTACTCGTCCATGGCCGATTTGCTTGGGCGAGCTGGGGAGGTGGCGGCGTCCAAGGAGCTCGTGGAGAGTATGCCATTTGCGAGTGATGCGGTCGTGGAGGGAGCGATGCTGGGAGCTCGCAAGATCCATGGGGATCACTACGGTTAGCCGTTAAGTTCCAATTCAGCTGAAACTTTCATCCTCTGGAGAGGAGATGTCGGTTACTACACCTGGATTTGATCAAGCCTCAGCAGCATCAGCCTCCTCACGAGCATGACCGTGGAGCTCGAGGGGCGTGATGGAAACAACAATCTCCCCGCGCGCTGGAGCCGCAGAGGGAGCTTTACGGCTCCAAGATCTTCTTCCAGTTCCATGTCACCGAAATGTGAGAGTAGCATTCCCTTGTCTCTTCCCACGAGCTTGGAGTCGATCGAGGTGTGCGCTTGTCGTCGATGGGAACCATGCCAAACATGGTGGCGTCAGGAAGAACAATCGCGGTGGTGATGGGAAGAAGAGATCCTGGAGGTAGAAACTGGTAACTTCAATGCACTCTGCAAAGCGACTGCTGGAATCCGCTGCCATCAGAACTTGCTGCAAAGAAAAATACCACCGCAACATCATCGTTTGGAACGCGCCTCCTAGCTCGATCAGGAATATTGCCAGAGTGGAGGGCGTGTTTGATGCGATAGCGTGGCGTTACATCGTAGCCTGGAATGCAATCGTTTGGGGAATTCGAACGAGCTATGGAATCGGGTTTGATAGTTTTAAAAATCCTCTCAACATGGCGCTGTTCAATAGGTGGTTTGGGAGCGGTGTAGCAGCCCAGTGGGAACTTGTTAGCGCGGCTTCTCATCCACAAGCTCGATGTCTGGTAAGTTTAGCAGGATTTGGCCCTCAAAATTGTGACTTTGCTGCGAGTTCCTGCATTGCAGCATGGAGCTGTCGTGCTCGATGAAAAGATGTGGGTCTATGGTGGCGAGGACTTTCACGGTCGAACGCTTGACGACGTGTACGCCTTTGATCTGGAAGCGAAGGTGTGGGAGCTTGTGAGTACAGTTCATGTAACCTCACCTCGTCGTCTTCTTTCACTGTAGTGGCATGCTTGCACCGGGGTTTTGTTTTCATGGCGATGCTTCCGTCAACGGCAATTATCTCTACCTTTCCTCCGGGTGCGACAACAAGCTGTACATGTTGGATCTCAAAACTGTGAGCGAGACACGCTTTTTGCTGAAAGCTCAAGAACTGATAGTCGCTGCTGTGCAGAAAAAATGGTCGTCCGCGCCCCTGGAGCTTCCTGCTGCGCCAACGTCCATCGCTGTGGCTACTGGATCTGGGGACGAATACTACATCGTTGGTGGTATGCTATTCCACTGATCAAACCATCATTTTTACTGCGTGTTTCCCACAGGCATGCTGCCTCAAACGATGCTGCTCAACACGAAGTCGCGGAAGTGGACTCCTGTGTGCGTGGAGCCTCGTCTACCTCGCGAGGTATCACTCACAGACTTGAGACGCTTTTGAACGTCGGTAATTTGCAGTGAATCATTTGCAGGGCCTGAGCCTGGTGCACGCGAAGATCAAAGACCAAGCTTGTGTCATTGGCTCTGGAGGTGATCACGGTCAGGTATGTGTGATGGTCAGCTCTTTGCAGCATGATTTGAGTCGCATTTTCCCTGCAGTTGAGCGTGTTCAAGCTCGATACCATGAAGTCCTACCCGGCTACGCCATCCAAAGTGGACTTGCCAAGCTACTGCCGCGTGAGGGACAGGGATGGCTCCGTTGTAGGGACTGTGTCCGTTTCGGAAGGAGGCAAATCGGTAGCGGACGTTGCCGGAGCCATCGAACTTCTCACGGGTCAAGCCGGTTTGCTGCAAAGGAATGGAGTGGCTTTGACTCGGGGCGATCTGATTTATCCCGGAGAGAAGCTAGAGTTTTACGGAGTGCTCAAGCCTGGCAACTTGGATCTGCAACGCATGAATCTATGCGCCTGCAAGCGTTTCTTGTCCCGGATGATATGAGCGGAGAGGAATGGCTAGTACCTCTGATGGAATTCGACGCAGAGCCCTTCGTGTGGACGTGGAATGTCACAAGAGAAGCGACGATGAACTATCTGTGGCGGCATGGAGTGCCGAGGTACAGCATGCTGAGAGTCCAGTACGCAGTAAACTGTGACAGGCAACGCGAGCGCGTAGCATGCTACTCCAACACAAACTTTCCATTCAAGCTCAAGTTCGAGATCCACACAGTCTTGAGAAACCTCCTGGGTGACGGCACCGCGATTGGTTTCTGGATGGCGGAGAAGATGAGTGACGAGCTGCTATGGTGGCTTGCTTGGGCTTGAACATCAGGAACCCAACGCTCAAGCCATGGATGGTGGTGTCGGACCTCAAGGACGAGTGGCATTTTGTGTGGATGAACGGGAAGAAGGCGTCGGGCCGGAGCCAAGCGTCGGGCCGGAGCCAAGGACTTGGAATCATCCGCGATCTCGGCCACGATTACAACCGGGTCACCAACAACGAGGTTCCTGGCTTGTTCTCCAACTTGCCGGCGGTGACGAGTCGGGATCCGGTGGGCGTGGAGTGCGAGAACCCCGTGCGCTCGCCACCGTTGCTCTATGGGAGAGGCGTGAATGAAGCTGGCGATGTCGAGGTGTGGAAACTTGATGGTAGCTTGCGCTGGACAATCACCCAGGAAGACAACTTGCTTTGCGCAAAAGCAGGTGACACCGGATTGTGATATCACAGTCATAGATATGTGTGAACCGGCGCAAGCCATTTCAGTCGGCCATGAAGTTTTGACTTTGAGTAATCAAACTTGGCCAAGATTACTTTGACTATGGTTTGGCGAAAGGATACCTATCCGGCCCACGTGCTGCCGAAAGAGATTGTGGGATAAAGACTTTCATATAATTCTATATAAATTTGTCAAGAAATGCTGCCTGCCAAGACTTTGTTGCAAGGATAGGTTGTCTGGTTCTACCTATCATTTCTTTGAGTCAAATGCAAAGGCATCACGCATCACGCTTCGAGTGAGTAATTCTACTTCCACGGATAGCGTGGCTGACAAAACAAACGCTCTACAGCAATGGTGTTTCGGAAGTTAGGACATGGTAAAATTCCATTTCTCTCTGTAAACTCAATAACTTTTTGAATCACTTGAACCCAGACAATTGTCATGGTGATGGTCATGGGAAAGTGATATTATATTTCTTTTTATTCTTCTTCTTCTTCTTCTTTTATTTTTTTTATTTTTAAATTATAATTGGACTATTTCTGTGCTTCTGGAAATCAACTTAGAAGCTACCATTCTTCTCTTCCTGTACGATAAAAATGATATTTCACCTTAAACTCTCCAGGGAAGTAATCTACAAGCAGGAGTATGGCTCAACTCATCCAGATCCTTGCGGTGGTATTTTTCTATGCAGCAAGTTCTTGGGCGGCATCGGATCCTAGCAATCACTTTGCAAAGTGCACTGAAGTTATCAGCTTCTACCAACAGGATCTCTTCTTCCCAACACCCGGGCTGAATGCCACCACCGCGATTGCTCTTCCAGGCACGAACAACGCCACCATGTTTGCCCAGGTGGCCATCCTTGACGACAAGCTCACACAAGCCCCCTCGATGGACTCCAAGCTCGTGGGGAGAGCCAAGGGAATGCTAGTGTTTGATTCTCTCAGCAACATCAGCCTCCTCACGAGCCTGACCGTGGAGCTCGAGGGGCGAGATGGAAACATCAATCTCCTGGGCCAGAGCCGCGCGCTGGAGCCGCAGAGGGAGCTTTCAATCGTGGGCGGAAGTGGGGAGTTTCGATTTGTCCAAGGGTTCGCAACGCTGCGAACGTATTCGCTGGAGCCTTACGGCTCCAAGATCTTCTTCCAGTTGTATGTGATCAAACTGTGGGAGTGCTTGATCAAATCCCAGGTGTAGTGACCGAGATCTCCTCGAATAAAAAGTTTCAGCTGAATTGGCAGCACTCCCAGCATCGCTCCCAGCTCCGATCTTCCCATCTTCACGCTGCCGATTCCACCCACGCCACGTGTGATGGACATGCCTGAGCTGACCGGGCATGGCGTCGAATATGCTCTGGGCTTTCCGCCCTGGAAAGAAAGAAAAATCATCCGGAAGATAATGCTCCTCGGCGCTGACCTGGCTATGCAGCGTTTCACGGCGGGAATGGTCTCGGACATTGCATCTCGGGCTACTTCCAGTGCGGCCATCTCCAAGCCGGCGTTGATTTTCCCTTGTTTCTATAAAATTTCTCATTGCCTTTCCGAAGTTCAGAAGAAGGGAGGCCCGACTTGGGAAGAGCTGCTCATGTAGTTGAAAAGGTCATCAATCTATGTGGTGTGCAACGCATTACACTTGCGAGAGCAGTGCCAAGAACGTTTGACCCTGCATTTAGCTTCGTCAAGTTTTATAACCAAACCATGCATTAAACAAGATGATCTTTGTGATCTTCTTTAGGATCATAGATGCAAAGGCATTTGCATGGCTCTTCGGAGCCGGTCCCATGCCCAAAAAAGCTGCTGTGACTGTAATCTATCTCGTGTCCATGAGGCCAATACCAAAAATATCCTAATGGACCATATGTCGTGGTAGACAACTGGACGATGGAAGCTAAGTAAGCTTTATAATGGACTACAAATCTCAGTGTGGACGAGAGAAGCATGCACACTCATGAGAAATGTAGATTAAAAATTTTTTAGTTGGCTTTTGACACTCCAGAGGTCTTGTAGCTAAGAGTTGAGAGCTTCCGATGTTCTAGAGGACGCGACACAGCGAGGGGTCTTAAACTGAGCTGGAGACGTGCCGTTCCTGACGGCCTCCTCCATCAGCCTCGCGAGCGTTCCTTTCTTGACAATCACCAGCTCGAACGAATTGATCAGCCCGTCCATCCCTTTTCTCGTGTACTCTGGATTGTGTACGTCCACGCAGCACTTCTCTAAGTCTTGAGTTTTGGAGTAGTCGATCTCCAAGAAGATAGGAGGAACGGTGGCTGGATTAATGAAATTCAACACTTCGAAATCTCTGGCATTCTTGCAGACCTTTGTTTATGCAGAACTGTGCTGTTTTCTCTATTTCATCTGTAACCAAAGGTTTAATGTTCTTTATTCAAGGGGATGATGTTGGCAATGGCTATGGTGGTAGACATGGTGACATGCACAAACAAGCAGCACACGAAACACAAAACACCATATGCCATTAGAATTATTTGTATCAAAAATTATTTCGAATAATAGAAGTGTAATAAACAAAATGTGTCAAATTATAAGCAGCCAAGAGAGTTCTTTGATATCTTCGTGCTCACGTTCCCTGTCACTGTTCACTACGTAGTGGACTCTCAGCATGCTGTACCTCGGCACTCCATGCCGCCACAGATAGTTCATCGCCGCGTCTCGCGAGACATTCCACGTCCACACGAAGGGCTCTGCGTCGAATTCCATCAGAGGCACTAGCCATCCCTCTCCTCTCATAACTTTGATGTTTATCCGGGACAAGAAATGCTTGCAGGCGGCGAGATTCATGCGATGCAGGTCCATGTTGCCAGGCTTGAGCACTTCGTAAAACTCCAGCTCCTCTCCGGGATAAACCAGATCGCCGCGAGTCAAAGCCACTCCATTCCTTTGCAGCAAACCGGCCTGACCCGTGAGAAGTTCGATGGCTCCGGCAACGTCCGCTACCGGTTTGCCTCCTTCCGAAACGGACACAGTCCCTACAACGGAGTCATCCCTGTCCCTCACGCGGCAGTAGCTTGGCAAGTCTGCTTTGGATGGCGTAGCCGGGTAGGACTTCATGGTATCGAGCTTGAACACGCTCAACTGCAGGGAAAATGCGACTCAAATCATGCTGCACAGAGCTGACCGTCACACATACCTGACCGTGATCACCTCCAGAGGCAATGAGACAAGCGTAGTCTTTGATCTTCGCGTGCACCAGGCTCACGCCCTGCAAATGATTCACTCAGTAATTACCGACGTTCAAGTCTGTGAGTGATACCTCGTGAGGCAGACGAGGCTCACACAGGAGTCCACTTCCGAGACTTCATGTTGAGCAGCATCGTTTGAGGCAGCATGCCTGTGGGAAACACGCAGTAAAAATGATGGTTTGATCAGTGGAATAGCATACCACCAACGATGTAGCATTCTTCCCCAGATCCAGTAGCCACGCGATGGACGTTGGCGCAGCAGGAAACTCCATGGGCGCGGACGACCATCGTTTCTGCGCAACAGCGACTATCAGTTCTTGAGCTTTCAGCAAAAAGCGTGTCTCGCTCACAGTTTTGAGATCCAACATGTACAGCTTGTTGTCGCAGCCGGAGAAAAGGTAGAGATAATTGCCGTTGATGGAAGCATCGCCATGAAAACAAAACCCCGGTGGACGCATGCCACTACAGTGAAAGAAGCCGACGAGGTGAGGTTACATGAACACACATCTTTAGGAATTATTTCGAACCTTGTACTCCCACGTTCCCACACCTTCGTTTCCAGATCAAAGGTGTAGACGTCGTCAAGCGTTCGACCGTGAAAGTCCTCGCCACTATAAGGTAGCCGAGTGACCACGCGTTCCAGCCTAGAAAGAAGATATTTTTTCTGGTAAGAAATAGCAATTACCGCACCTCCAGTCGTTGTTACATGGGGACACAAGCATCATCGCTTCAAACTCGTACACTACACAAATAGACTAAAGAAGCCTCAAACTTTGTTTAAGTTGCTTTGCTGCCTCGCAATCTTTCGTCTGATGGAATCCGAACGAAAGCAAAGACCGTTGTTCCTCTTGCAACCTGATAGATAGTATCAGCCACTGTGAAGAAAACTAGCTCTGGCAGGAACAGGATGGAAGTAAAGTCCAAGTCCAGTTTCTCAAATTCAAAACCTTGCTGAGAAAAATCACGATATCATAAGGAAAATCACGAGACAGAGAAGTTTACCAGCGCATCGCTCAGGTATTTGTCCTCACAGCGTCCCCCGACAACATACTTCTTTTGATCGAGCACGACAGCTCCATGCTGCAATGCAGGAAGCAAAGTCACAGTATTGAGGGCCAAATCCTGTTCAATTTACCAGACATCGAGCTTGTGGGTGAGAAGCTGTGGTATAGGTTCCCATTGGGCTGCTGCACCGCTGCCAAACCACCTTTTGAACTAGTAATATCCACTAGCTAGTGCAAGAGGCGCCACCATAGTCGTTTAAATTGATCCAACGCAATGTCCTTAAACCCGTTATTCCAAGGGTTAGACACTTCTTCCGCAAATGGTTGCAATTCGTCTTGCTCCATGAGCCAGAAGACATTTATCGTATGTCTCATCTTGGCAAATGCTTGAATGATCAATGTCCAGGTCATCGCCGTTTGATCTTCCAGCTGCTCAAACACACGCTCTATTAGATTTAAATGCGAGTGCCCTTGTAGATTCTTGGATCAGAATGGATCAAGGCAAAGCATTCCTTTCGGGCTTTTAATACCGCTATTTTCAAATGCCCAATTTAGAAAAGTATACATCATGAGTTTGAATTAGGGAAGATAACTTCATTAAAAACGATGGATTATCTTCCACGGGATTGACTTGACTAGGCTTTACACTAGAGCAGTGAACCTTGACTTATCTAGTAAGTCAGCATTGAATGAACAATTTGTGATTATCCGCAAGTTGCCGCGTACAGAGGCAAATTGCAGGCTTTCTTGGCGGTCAAGGCTACCACGCTTGAATGGAATTGGGTAATATAAAAGAATAGCAAACTGCGCTCACATCATACTCACTTCTCTCACTCTCACACATTACAAGCATCCACTCACAGCATCACACACATTCGCACAAAAATGGCCGCTTCTGCAATTGCCGAGTTCGAGGACGCGTGCAAGAATGCAGCTTCGATCCAGGAGGAGCTTCTGCTCGGCATTCTTCGCAAGAATGCATGCTGCGAGTATCTCCAGAAGTATGGCAGCCCGCTGACAGTTGCTGCATTCAAATCCCAGGTCCCAGTTATTGGCTACGATGATATTCGCAGTGACCTCGAAAGAATTGCTGGTGGAGATCGAGGGCAAATTCTTTGCCATGATCCAATCACCAGCTTCTTCACAAGGTATCGCTAGGAAGACTTGCTTTCTTGCCAGTTTTTTACACTTGCGATTATCTAACAGCTCGGGAACGTCTTCCGGAAAGAACAAGAACATCCCGGCGACTTACGAGAACACTGTCTCTGTGGTAAAAGTCCTCGAAAGCTCTTACGCTTACAAAACAAAGTAAGTTTCCCAATCTTGTGGAAATGTGCTAAGTTGCTGGGTTGTCTGTTTTGAAGCTACTTTGATCTTGGCAAAGGACGTTCCGTGAGCCTGCTCTATTTCAAGGATCTACATGCAACCAAATCGGGTCTTGTATTTGGGCCGGTCACGGCCCATGGGATCCGAAGCACGAGATTCAGGCAGGTCTGGAGGTCCTCACGTACCACCCCGTATGAGGTTCTCGTCGCCGCAAGTGATTTTCGCGAGCTAACGTACTGCCACTTGCTGTGCGCGCTGCTCCAACGCCACGAGGTGGAGCAAGTCGAGTGTATGTACGCATACAGTATCTGTGAGGCTCTCCGGCTGTTCCAGAACGAGTACTGGGAAGAGCTTTGCAACGACATAAGAACCGCCAGCCTGAGCAAAACAAAAGTCATGGATCCAAAGCTGAGGAAAGCGTTTGAAAGAGCTGGAGTTTTTCGCAGCAAATGTGGCAACGCAATGGAAGCCGACAAAATCTTCAAGATCTGCAGCAACGAATCGTGGTCTGGAATTCTTCCGCTGTTGTTCCCCAAAGCGAAGCTCGTGTCAGCGGTGGTAACGGGCGCGATGACACACTACGTTCCGACGTTAAGCTTCTATGCCGGGGATCAGCTTCCTATCGTTGGGCAGGGTTTCTTCTCGTCCGAGGGAGGCATCGGGATCAACATCGATCCTCTTTCTCCTCCAGAGGACGTCATCTATACTGTCACACCCCGATCTCTTTACTACGAGTTTCTTCCACTTGGTGCTACTGAAGCTCTAAGCATGCATGAAGTGGTTATTGGGGAGCTGTATGAGATTCTCGTGACGAACTTTGCAGGTAGACGACAATTTGGTTCTTTTCTTTATCTCTAACAACAATCTTTCATGAAAATGTATAGGTCTTTACCGCTGCCGGATGGGCGACGTTGTGCAAATAACAAGCTTTTTCCATGGCGCTCCTCAGATGGCTTACCATCACCGCAAGAACGCAGTGATGTGCATAAACAACGAGACCGTGGACGAGCAAATGCTACAAAACGTGGTGAACAAGGTCTCAAAGGATGCCGGAGTTGAAGTGTTGGACTTCATGATCTATGGCGATCCAGCTGCCGTTCCTCCTTCCTACACGATCTTCTGGGAGCTCGGGAATGCCAAAGACTACTCCAAAACTCAAGTCTTGGAGCAGTGCTGTGCCAACGTACTTAAGTCTTTCAATCCAGAGCATACGAGAAAAGGCACGGACGGGCTGATCGATTCGTTCGAGCTGGTGATTGTCAAGAAAGGAACGTTTGAGAGGCTGATGGAGGAGGCTGTCAAGAACGGCGCGTCTCCAGCTCAGTACAAGACCCCTCGCTGCGTCGCGTCCTCGAGAATATTGGAAGCTCTCAACTCTGGACGCGTTCACAGCTACAAGAGCTCTGCAATGTCGAAAGTCAACTAGGATAAATTAATCTACATTTATCTACATGTTTGACCGTGAGTTCGGCATTATTCTAACTAAATCTCCATTCTTCGTCTTTGACTGTGCCTGATTTAAGCAGCGATCAAACTTGGCTGCAAGACTCACTAAACTTAGACTCATGACTTGAAGAACTAGAAAAAAGCCCAGTGATCAGGATCTCTAAATTCTTCCAGCGCATCACTTTGGATCATGAGAGGAGCCTGGTTCGTGCATCCTGTCCTTTTATTTTTCAAATCACCCGACCGGTAAATGCTGCAAGATCTTATCAACGTGAAAATTTCTCTAAGTGAAGATGTTATGAAATGGGGACACCCAGCCTTGTGAGCGCAGCAGCGCTCCATGCTGGGTCCACCTTTATTGCGGAAGACGGATCAAGAACAGAATGTGTCGGGCGTGATCACCTACAGAACCCAAACAGATGTGTCCCTTCTGCTGACGTGGCATCCCAGCTTGAGATTGCGGCTTAAGTCCTCAACACTCCCACTCGAGCTAAGCTGGGATCAGCCTCGAGCAACTGCACACCAAGAGCTTGGACATGCTTGGAGAATGCAGCTAGGGGCAGAGCTTTTGTGAAAACATCTGCCACCTGATCTCCCGTCGCACAATACACTAGCTCCATTGTCTCCATGGCAACCTGCTCACGAATAAAATGAAACTGTACCTGTATGTGCTTGGTACGTCCGTGATACTTCGGGTTCTTCGTCAAGGCAATTGCTCCCTGATTATCACAGAAGATAATTGTTGGAGTCTTCTGTGGATAATATACTCCACTCAATAGTTGCCTCAGCCAAACACACTCTTTGGCTGCTAAGGTAGTGGCCATGTACTCAGCTTCGGTGCTTGATAGTGCAATTGTTGGCTGCCTTTTACTGCACCAAGTAACTGCTCCACTACCAAGGCTGAACATATAGCCTGAAGTGGACTTCCTCTTGTCAACTTCACCAGCCCAATCAGCATCTGAGTATCCAACGAGCTGAATACCCCTAGGCTGCTGCTTGTAAACAAGACCATAGTTGGCAGTCCCCTTCAAGTATCTGAAAATCCGCTTTACTGCTAACCAGTGCTGGTAGCCAGGATTTTCCAAGTGCTGTGAAACTGCTCCCACTGCATAGGCTATGTCTGGCCTCGTACACACCATCAGGTACACTAAGCTTCCCACCATCTGCCTATATGGGATCCGCTTCATATGTTCCTGTTCAGCTGGTGTTGTCGGTGACATATCCTGTGAGAGTTTTAGACCAACCTCCATAGGTGTGGTTGCTGGGTTCAGCTCACTGAGTTGAAACCTCTGAAGCACGTCCAGAATGTACTTCTTCTGAGACATCTGAATCACTCCCTTCCTCCTGTCTCGGAAGATCTGAATGCCAAGGCAGTAGTGAAGAGGTCCCATGTCAACCATCTTGAATCGGCACCCCAAATCCAGCTTCAACTGCTTCATGGTAGCACCTTCACTTGAGAAAAGGATGCAGTCATCCACATAGAGAGCTATCATGGCTCAAAATTCTCCCACTCGCTTCAAGTACACGTTACTGTCAGCTGAAATCTTGGAGAACCCCAAACCCAAGAGATAAGCATCCATTTTCTCGTACCAGGCCCTGGGTGCTTGTTTAAGGCCATACAAAGCCTTCTTCAACCGGCACACTAAATGTTCCTTCCCTGGAACAACAAAGCCCTCTGGTTGCGAGATAAAGACCTCCTCATGTAGATCTCCATTCAGAAAAGCTGTGGTGACGTCCATCTACTCGACTTCCAAGTTTTCTTGAGCAGCAATGTTCAGCAACATCCTGATCGATGCATGTTTCACCACTGGTGAAAATGTTTCTGCAAAGTCCACTCCTTCTACTTGAGAAAATCCTCGAGCTACAAATCTGGCCTTGTAACGATCAATAGAGCCATCTGGCTTATACTTGATCCGGAACAGCCACTTTGTACTCACGATTCTTCTACCTGTAGGAAGCTCCACCAAGTCCCACGTTTCATTTTCCATCAGAGATTGATACTCTAGGAAAATTGCATGCTGCCACTCTGCTGCATTTGGACCAGCCAAGGCTTCTTGCAGGGTCTTGGGTACTGTGGCTTCTGCTTGGTGAAAGAGTGCTAGAAAGTCGAGTTCCATGTCCTCAGAAGGAACTTCCTCCTGCTGCTGGGACGGTGAGCTTGCAGCATAATAAAATGCTGCTGAGGTTACTGGAGGTGGCTCAGATGCACTGCGATCACGAGCTGCTCTGGCTTCAACTCTAGAAGCCTCAAGAGCCTGCTTTAATGCCACATCCTCTCTGTACTGCTGTCCTTGTTCAATCAAGACACGAACACGACTGGATCTACAAGTTGCTGCTACTTCCTGCTGCTGGCTGCTTTCCTGCTGCTGGCTGCTCTCACTAGAGCTGCCTTCCTCGAAATTGAGAGAAGGTGAGAGATCTGAGACACTCCTTGGAAGAGTTCGGCCTGCCCTGGGAGGAACTTGAGCCATGACTCCACCTCCACCTGTAGCTGCTCCGCCTGAGTGTGCACGCTGCCGTCGAGAGGCATCTTCCTCCTCGCTGTCGCTATCCTCAATTAGGGTTTGCTTACCACTAATGAGTAACGGCATCTGCTGCGAGGTGGTTGCTAGCTGGTTCTTGGTGTTGTACATCTTAGACTCGTCGAAGATGACATTCCTGCTCGTGATCACCTTCCTGGTGTTCAGGTTGAAGAGCTTGTAACCCTTCATCTTGCTTGCATAGCCAAGGAGAATGCACTTCTCACTTCTACTGTCCAGCTTCTTGGGCTCGTCCTTGAGTGCATAAGCTACACACCCAAAGATCCTGAGATGGCTCACGTCTGGTGCCTTCCCATACCACACCTCATAAGGTGTTCGTCCCTTGACAGCAGAAGTAATCAGCCTATTCCTCAAGTAGGCTGCTGTCTTCACAGCATCACACCAAAAGAAATTTGGCATGCCTGCATCTTGCAAGAGCGCTCGTGCCATCTCCACAAGAGTTCGGTTCATCCTCTCAGCCACGCCATTTTGCTCAGGAGTTGAAGGCACTGAAAGTTGCCGCTTAATTCCAGCTTGCTCACAGAACTCCTTAAAGGCGTTAGAGGTGAACTCTCCACCACCATCACTTCTCAGCATCTTGATTTTTCTGCTTATCTCAAGCTCCGCTTGCAGCTTGTAGACCTTGAAAGCTTCAAAGGCCTCTGACTTGTGCAGCAAAAACTTCACTGCTACCATCCTTGAAAAATCGTCAATGAATGTGACAAAGTATTTCTTCTTTGTCCTTGACATGGTCTGCATTGGGCCACATAGATCAGAGTGTACCAGCTCCAGGACATCCTTCCCTCTTTCACTTACACCTGAGCGAAATGGAAGGCGATGCTGCTTACTGAGGACACAAGGCTCACAAAATCCAGCTGATGATGGAGCAATGTTCAGTCCTTGGACAAGTTGTCCTCTTGCTAGCTGCTGTACTCTCTTGATGGAAGAGTGGCCTAATCTCCTGTGCCAAGTGTCTAGTGTAGCTGGTTTGTCTTCCACGCTGCTACTGAGCATTAACCTCTCAGGATACACCACTTCAGCATTCAGGCAATAGAGCCCTGCATGTCGGCGTCCCGATGCTAGCTCATAGCCTTCTCATGAGATGGTGCACCTTTTCTCGTTAAAGTCAATCTTGCAGCCTGTGTCTGCTATCTTCCCCACTGAGAAAAGAGTCTTCTTGACACCAGGCACATAGTAGACATTGCTCACGTCCACTTTCTGACCATTGGCAAGTTTCACCTTGATTGTCCCAACTCCTTGCACACTGTGCGAGTAATCGTCACCAAGGTAAATCCTCTTGTCGTCTGGAACTGGTCTCAGCTTGCCAAACAGCTCTTTGATGTATGTCATGTGCCTGTTTGCTCCTGAGTCCACCCAGATTACTTCTACTGTCAAGGGACGAACACCTTATGAGGTGTGGTATGGGAAGGCACCAGACGTGAGCCATCTCAGGATCTTTGGGTGTGTAGCTTATGCACTCAAGGACGAGCCCAAGAAGCTGGACAGTAGAAGTGAGAAGTGCATTCTCCTTGGCTATGCAAGCAAGATGAAGGGTTACAAGCTCTTCAACCTGAACACCAGGAAGGTGATCACGAGCAGGAATGTCATCTTCGACGAGTCTAAGATGTACAACACCAAGAACCAGCTAGCAACCACCTCGCAGCAGATGCCGTTACTCATTAGTGGTAAGCAAACCCTAATTGAGGATAGCGACAGCGAGGAGGAAGATGCCTCTCGACGGCAGCGTGCACACTCAGGCGGAGCAGCTACAGGTGGAGGTGGAGTCATGGCTCAAGTTCCTCCCAGGGCAGGCCGAACTCTTCCAAGGAGTGTCTCAGATCTCTCACCTTCTCTCAATTTCGAGGAAGGCAGCTCTAGTGAGAGCAGCCAGCAGCAGGAAGTAGCAGCACCTTGTAGATCCAGTCGTGTTCGTGTCTTGATTGAACAAGGACAGCAGTATAGAGAGGATGTGGCATTAAAGCAGGCTCTTGAGGCTTCTAGAGTTGAAGCCAGAGCAGCTCGTGATCGCAGTGCATCTGAGCCACCTCCAGTAACCTCAGCAGCATTTTATTATGCTGCAAGCTCACCGTCCCAGCAGCAGAAGGAAGTTCCTTTTGAGGACATGGAACTCGACTTTCTAGCACTCTTTCACCAAGCAGAAGCCACAGTACCCAAGACCCTGCAAGAAGCCTTGGCTGGTCCAAATGCAGCAGAGTGGCAGCATGCAATTTTCCTAGAGTATCAATCTCTGATGGAAAATGAAACGTGGGACTTGGTGGAGCTTCCTACAGGTAGAAGAATCGTGAGTACAAAGTGGCTGTTCCGGATCAAGTATAAGCCAGATGGCTCTATTGATCGTTACAAGGCCAGATTTGTAGCTCGAGGATTTTCTCAAGTAGAAGGAGTGGACTTTGCAGAAACATTTTCACCAGTGGTGAAACATGCATCAATCAGGATGTTGCTGAACATTGCTGCTCAAGAAAACTTGGAAGTCGAGTAGATGGACGTCACCACAGCTTTTCTGAATGGAGATCTACATGAGGAGGTCTTTATCTCGCAACCAGAGGGCTTTGTTGTTCCAGGGAAGGAACATTTAGTGTGCCGGTTGAAGAAGGCTTTATATGGCCTTAAACAAGCACCCAGGGCCTGGTACGAGAAAATGGATGCTTATCTCTTGGGTTTGGGGTTCTCCAAGATTTCAGCTGACAGTAACGTGTACTTGAAGCGAGTGGGAGAATTTTGAGCCATGATAGCTCTCTATGTGGATGACTGCATCCTTTTCTCAAGTGAAGGTGCTACCATGAAGCAGTTGAAGCTGGATTTGGGGTGCCGATTCAAGATGGTTGACATGGGACCTCTTCACTACTGCCTTGGCATTCAGATCTTCCGAGACAGGAGGAAGGGAGTGATTCAGATGTCTCAGAAGAAGTACATTCTGGACGTGCTTTAGAGGTTTCAACTCAGTGAGCTGAACCCAGCAACCACACCTATGGAGGAACATATGAAGCGGATACCATATAGGCAGATGGTGGGAAGCTTAGTGTACCTGATGGTGTGTACGAGGCCAGACATAGCCTATGCAGTGGGAGCAGTTTCACAGCACTCTGATACCCCTAGTTTTGTCACCTGCTGATCCTCTAACGAAGCCATGAACAGACTGCCATGCTCGTCATCTGAATCAGCAAGTGACAAAACATGGTCTGTTGAAAGCAGAAGTAATCTCTGATGTATGTCATGTGCCTGCAGATTACTTTTGCTTTCAACAGACCATGTTTTGTCACCTGCTGATCCTCTAACGAAGCCATGAATAGACTGCCATGCTCGTCATCTGAATCAGCTGCTGCAAAGTTAGCCACTTGCTTGCCTTTGTCTCGCTTTCTAGCTTCCTTGGCTTTCTTTGCTTCTTCATTGGTGCAGTCTCTTGCCCAATGACCAGGTTTCTTGCAAATGTTGCAAAGGCCGTCGTTTTTCTTCTTCTTCTTCTTGGACTTGCTCCCACTGGTTCCATCAGTCCCTGGAGAATTCACTGGGCCCAACCTGTCCCACACTGTTGCAGATCGCTTGCCCTTTGAAGATTGACCAGCAAATAGCGCTTGATCTTGAGATCCAACTCCCTCATTGGTCTCCATCAAGTTCTCTGCTGACTTCAACTGAAGGACTATTTCGTCAAATTTCTTTGATGAGTGAGTAGTCGCTGTTGTCAGAAGATACTTCGCCACGCCTTTGATGACAACCGACTTGAGCTTCGGTTCACTCACTGGTGTCTTCGTGATGCGTGCGATCTGGCTTGCTACCTTCCTCAACCTTCCAACAAAGGCTTGAATGGACTCACCTTCATGCTGTCTTACAGAACCGAGTTCTGTCTCTAAGTCCAGCAATGTGGTCTCATTCTCCTTTCCGAGGGTTGCTTTCAGGTTTTCCCAGTTCTCGTGCGCAGTCTTCGTGATGTCGAGATGGCAACTGAACACCTTGCCCAGGCCTCTGCCTAGAATGCCCAAGGCCTTGATGTTCTTTCCATCCTACTCTTTGCGGTCAGCCTTGTCCGTTGTGGGAGGGCGCGTCCAGGAACCGTCGACCACTGGCCACAGCTCCTTCTGCATAAAGTAGTACTCGAGTTGCTCCTGCCATCCACTGAAATCCTTGCCATCAAAGATCTCTATGGCGTCGCGCACACTCCCCATCTTCAGGATCGTTCTTCACACGGGCTCTGATACCATGTTATGAAATGGGGACACCCAGCCTTGTGAGCGCAGCAGCGCTCCATGCTGGGTCCACCTTTATTGCGGAAGACGGATCAAGAACAGAATGTGTCGGGCGTGATCACCTACAGAACCTAAACGGATGTGTCCCTTCTGCTGACGTGGCATCCCAGCTTGAGATTGCGGCTTAAGTCCTCAACAGAAGAAACACCATACTGAGTCATGCATATACTGTAGTGGTTAAAAGCTCTACATAAAAGAATGGCCTTTTTGACACGACACGAAAGATCTCAGCTAGTTTAATGCTGCTTATAAAACTCGACGAGGCTTTCCATGTCAAAGCTAGACGCGGGATCAAACGATCTTTCCACGGCTCTGTCACTTGTCACAAGTGTAACGCGTTGCACACGACACAGATTGATGACCTTTTCAACTGCATGAGCAGCTCTCCCCAAGTCGGGCCTCAAGTCGAGTTCTTCTTCTTCTTCTGGACTTTCCGAAACGAAAAGGCGGTGAATTCTCAAAAGGCATTGACCCAAAATTTCGTCCTCGACATAATCAAACTCCAGCTGCCAGCCACAAAATTACACTGCAAGTGTTAGAGTTTAGAAAACAAGCAACTAGGCTGAAAACTCACTTTCGCAAGGAAACCGAGCCCAAGCTCTAGCTCCTGGTATTCGTCGACCATGTTAAATCTGAACAAGAACAGTTCGTAGAAATCAACAGAATTATGGCCAAATCCAAAATCATCCTTGAGACAGCTGTTCGTCTTCCCACTCATTACCCGCCAACACAAGCCCGAACGAACGTTCCCAGAGATTCTCACTCGCAAAGTTGATGTATACCGGCTTAGCCACCACCTTTTCAAGAGATTCCGCTGATACTAGAGTCACTTTTCCTCCGCCGTCTACTTCACTGGGAGAGACGCTAAGTTTCTCAAGCCTTGGAGCAGTCACGATGCAAGAAACTCTGGACGAGATCTCGAGCTCGAGAGCATACTTTCCGGTGTTTGGAGGCGTTTCAAAGTAGAACCCATTGCGTCATCGTTAATGTCGGGGTTACCATAGTCGTCATGCAATTTGAGGTATATATGTTTGAGGTTTGGGCACTGGCGCAAGAATCTGTTGAGTGCCTGGTCCTGCTGCGGAACTGGCACCGTAAGATCGAGATGCAATGTGTGAAGCTCTGGCAGGACGCATAAACCCGTTGTAATTTGCCCAAAATCCTCTCCTGCGACCTCGAGGCCGTCAATTCGCAGCTCTTGGAGGTTGATGCACTCAATGGAGATACGCTGCAAAGTCTTGAAAGTTACATTCCATCCAATCTCTAGCTCCAACAGCGAGCTCCCCAAGAGCTTCGTCCAGTTTAGACTGTCTACTTTCACGGAAGTGCTGCAAAAGCAGAAGCTGGTGATTTTTTGTAGCCGGGAAGTGACCATGGAGACCGAGGTTTGCACACAGTCGCATTCGTCCAGCTCTGCCTTGTGCTTGCAACACCGGCCCATTTCCGGGCATGAAATGCTGACGCCCTCGAACCATTTCGTGTGATCGCGCCAGGAGCGGCAGACTCCCGAGAGCGCCAGCACGAACCGAAATTCATCCAGGTTCTCATAGCTGGAGACCACGATCTGATATACTTTCAAGAGGACATCAAGCGGCAGTGCTGACCAATCGGCATTCTGTGCACGAGGAAAAGACTCGCAACTTACTCGTTTTCTCTTTTCCATAGAAACGAGCCCTAAAAACCGTTTCCTTTCCAAGGAACGGGAAGACGTTTAAAGAATATGCCAAATGGCCCTAACTTCCATCTTTTAGGGGTTTTAAGGATTAGGGTTCTTCCAAGAATGCGGGCGCGATGGTGGGGGGATGATCCTGTCGGCGCTCCTTGCGGCGATCAAGGAATGCGGCATCGCCAGAAATCTGGAGCGCGGGCGCAGGCTTCACGAGCAGGCCATCTACAGCGGCCACGATTCAAACAAGTATGTGGCTGGCAGCCTTCTCAGCATGTATGCCAAATGCGGCAGAATGGAGGAGGCGCGCATGGTCTTCGATTCCATGCGCCACCGCGATGTGGTTCCCTGGACGGCGCTGGCAATGGGCTACGCGGAGAATGGGCAGGAGGAGGTCGCGCTGGAAATTTTTGGGCGGATCGAGCAGCCCAATGCGCTGAGCTTCGTGGCGGCCATGAGGGCCGTGACGGGGCTAGCGCTGCGCGAGGCGGGGAGATTGTTCCATGGGAGGATAGTCAGGGTGGAATCGCTCAAGAGAGGCGAGTGGATCCATTCGCAGCTCCACTGCCTCGTGTCGGATATGGTGGCGAATTCTCTGCTCGATATGTATGCCAAGTGTGGATGCTTGGAGAGGGCGCTCTGGATTTTCGAGAGGATGCCTTGCCACAGCATTGTGTCTTGGAACGCTCTCGTGCTGGGCTGTGCCGAGAATGACGAGGCAGCCATGGCGGTGGAGCTGTTTGAGAGAATGGTGGCCGGCAGCGCTTCTGGCCAGAGCTCCACTCCGCCGCCACCGAATGGAAGAAGTTTCGTCTCGGCGCTCAAGGCTTGCTCGGTTCTAGCATCCCAGGAAGAGAGCAAAGAGATGGTAGATGGAAGAGCTGTGAAGAGTCGAGCTTTGGAGAGAGGGAAATGGATCCACTTGAGACTTTCAAGCAACAGCGAAGTTGGCCGAGACCACTATGTGTCGAGCGCACTTCTCGACTTCTACGCAAAGTGTGGGAGCATGGTGGACGCTCGCAGGGTGTTCGATCGAATGCCACAGCACGACTCGGTCACTTTGAACGCGCTACTGCTCGGATACACGGACAACGGCGAGGACGAGATGGCCTTGGAGCTGTTCTTGAGCCTCTCCAGAGCTCTCAGTGACGGGAGGAGTTTCGTGGCTCCTCTCAAAGCTTGCAGCAATCTGGCTGAGAAGGAACAAGGCCAGATCGTCCAAGGCCATGGGAAGCTTGTCAAGTTGGAAACTCTGGAAAGAGGCATGCTCGTGCACTCGCTGGCAGTGAAAAGCCAGTGTGAGACGGACGTCTTCGTGGCGAGCATCTTGGTGACGATGTACGCGAGGTGCGGAAGCATGGTGGACGCTCGCAAAGCGTTCGACCGGATGCCAAGTCGCAATGTGGTGTCCTGGAACTCACTCATCCTGGGATACTCCGAGAATGGAGAGCCCGAGCTGGCTATCGAGTCCTTCGAGAGCATGGAACTCCAGGGAAACTCTCCAACTTTTCTAGCAGCGCTCAAGGCTTGTTCCAGCCTTGCCGACAAGGAAGAGGCGAGCTACGTCGACGGGAAGCTTGTCAAGGCCAAGTCTCTCGAGAAAGGCGCAGCTCTTCACGTCCAAGCTTCCAGAGCTGGCTGTGACTCGGACACCTTTGTGGCGAATTGCTTGGTGGACATGTATGCCAAGTGTGGGGACTTGGCCGAAGCGAGCAGGGTTTTCGAGAGCATGTCGAGCCACAGCGTGGTTTCTTTCAACGCTCTCATGCTGGCCTACGCCGAGAACCAACAGGGGGACGTGACTCTCAGCTTTTTCTCTCGAATGGTGCCGGAGGGATGCCAGCCGAATGCTCTCAGCTATGTTGCAGCGATCAAAGCGTGCTCGAGCTTGGTCACTCTGGACATTGGCAAGGGAATCCAGGCTCAAGTCTGCCGCCGCGGCTTGGAGAGTGACCCGGTTCTAGAGGCCAGTCTCGTCGACGTCTTTGGCAAGTGTGGAAGCATGATGAACGCTCAGCTGGTGTTTGATTCAGTCCCCGGCAGGGATCCAGTGACTTGGACGTCTCTCATGGTAGGCTACAGTCGACAATGTGATTCTCACATCGTTTTCGAGCTTTTCCAGGAGATGAAAGAGCAGAGCTTGAGGCCAGACGCGGTGACTTTCATCGCCATTCTCACTGCTTGCAGTCACGCGGGCCTGGTGGAGAGAGGCAAGGGCTATTTTCGAGAGATGAGCTCCAGGTATGGAGTGGAGCCCCAGATCGAGCACTACTCTTGCATGGTGGACATTCTGGGACGAGCAAACCGGCTGCCCGAGGCGGTGGAGCTGCTGGAAAGAATGCCGGTGAGAGCGAGCAGGATCACTTGGTCGACGCTGCTGGGCGCGAGCAAAAAGTGGAAGAACCTGGAAGTCGGGAGGTTTGCATTTGATTCGCTCATGGCGCTGGATGACAGTGATCCCGCAGCCTATGTGCTCATGTCCAACCTCTATAACCAAAGCTCGCAAGAGATTGTGCCTCATGGAAGTTCTTCTTGATCAACGGCCTTTCAGCTGATATGGAACGGCCAACGGCCATTCCACGATAATGCCGTACTACCTCGCGAATATTCGTACGAAACGCATAGCGACCTAGGGTTTATCGCGAGAGGGACATGGCGGCCAAGATCCAGCTTCCCTCCACATTCCTCTCGTATCTCATCATGTTCACGGCGGCGTTCACCGGCGCATCGATCGTCCATAACATCGCCAAGCCGGATCTGGTAAGCGCGATTGATCCATCGATTATTTCTTTCTCATCCACGTTTTCGTGGGGCAGAGATTGCCGAAGGTCGATGAAGCAGGCAACAAGATAGATGCTCGCGATTCTTCTGATTCTAGGGGATGAAGGAAGAATGCCGCTCTATTGCGATCGAGAAAGCCACAGCTTAGCAGCTCTGGCCAGCTTTCGCTCCATCTGACGATCCTCCCATCCATCCTGGTGCCTCTCTCCCTCTCAGCCAGAGCCGCGCAAGCCATGAGAGCCACCACTAAAGTAGCACCGCTAGGTGAGGAGCTTGGAGAGAGGGATGGCTGTCTAGCGGCCAAGTGTGGCTGGGACTCCAACCTCTTCGTGGCCAACACGCTCATTGGTATGTACTCAAAGTGTGGCTGTGTAGCCGAGGCTTGCGCTGTTTTCTCCAGGTTGACGCTCTGTCTTGGAACTCTCTCATGCTCACTGCACTCTCTGGCTATGGAGCTCGGCTTTGTGTCGGATGTCTACGTTGGAAGCACGCTGGTGGACATGTACGCGAGCTGTGGGAGACTGGACCGTGCTCGAGAGGTGTTTGAGAAGATGAGGCAGCGGGATGCTGTGTCGTGGACCACCATGATCCAGGGATGCATAGACAACGAGGAAGGGGAGATGGCTTTGCAGCTGTTTCGACGTGTGAGCTCCTGCGAAGATGGTGTTCTACCCGATGGTTCCACCTACGTGGCGGCGTTAACGGCTTGCGCTGGCCTGGCTGCGAGAGAAGTTGGATTCCAATGTGCTCGTATGAGGATCCGGGAAAGCTGGTGAAGCTCCAGTCTCTGCAGAAGGGGATGGAGATCCACAGGCAGGCTCCTACTCTTCGGACTTCTTCGTGGCCAGCTCCTTGGTGGTGATGTATGCCAAGTGTGGAAGTATGGCGGATGCTCGGGCAATCTTCGACAGGCTTCCTCGTTATGATGCGGTGTGCTGGACGGCACTGATACTCCGCTACGCGGAGAGCGACGAGACCGAGCTAGCTTTGGAGCTCTTCTGGTGCATGCAACGAGAAGTAGGCTGTCTTCCGAGCTCTCGGACGATTGTCACAGCACTGGTAGCTTGCACGGGACTGGCAGCGAAGGAACAAGGTCAGCAGATTGATGGAAAGCTCGTGAAAGTCTCGTGTTTGGACAAAGGCATGGCCATCCACTGTGAAGCTGCGAAGTTCGGGTGGGATTGTGACGTATTCGTAGCCAGCAGTCTCGTCGACTTTTATGGGAAGTGCGGAAGCGTGCTGAATGCGCGGCTTACCTTTGACAGAATGCCGCGGCATGACAGGGTGGTGTGGACAGCGATGATCCAGGCCTGTGGAGAGAATGGAGAGGATGAAGCGGCAGTGGAGTTATTCCATTGCATGGAGACTCGGGGGCTGCTGCCAAACGCTTGGACCTCTGTCGCTGCGCTGAGTTCCATTGCTACTGTGGCTGCTGCAATGGAAGAAGAGGACTGCGTGGGGACGGACTACTTGGAGAGGGTGACGAGCATCCACTCTCGCTGCCGAGACGTCCACTTTTATCATGGAGAACACGCTGATTGACGCCTACTCCAAATGCGGTAGCGTGATGGATGCCCGGAAGGTGTTCGAGTCCTGGAACGCTCTCATACTTGGGCTCGTAGACAACGGGGAAGCCGAGCTTGCGACCGAGATGTTCGCACACATGACGCAGAACGAGAGCAGTCCAGCAGCGGCAGACACCCGGACTTTCGCCGCCGTGGTCACGGCTTGGAGCAACTTGGCAGCCTTGGAGACTGGAAAGCTCGTCCACGCTCGCGTTTGCCGGCTGGGGGTGGAGTGCGAGCCATACGTATCCAATTCCCTGGTGGGACTCTACAGCAGATGCGGGTCTATAAGCGACGCCGAGGAGCTCTTTGGTTCCATCAGCGACCGGAAGAGCGTGGTGGCATGGTCGGCGCTGCTAGCCGGATACAGCAGCCAGGGAGCTTGCGAGAAAGCGTTTAGCTTTCTCGAAGGATCCACAGGGAAGGCTTAGTATGGCGTGGTGCAGGAGCTCAAGCACTACCACTGCATGATCGATATGCTTGGAAGGGCCAACCTGGTGGGTGAAGCGGTGGAGACGGTGGAAACCATGCCGTATAGAGCAACAGCCATGACTTGGACGATTGTCTTGGCGGCGTGTCACAAATGGAACAATCACGCCGCTGGGATTGGTGAAGCTGGAGCCAGAGAACGCGGCGGCCTACTTACAGCCACCGGGAGGTTGATCTCTCTCGCAATTAGTCGGTTTGGTTCCACTTCAGTTGAAAGTCTGATGTCAGCACCTAGAATGTTACATGGATTTGATGTGGTGCCTATGTGGCACCCTGAGAGAGGGAGTGAAGCCCACACCATCGAGGATGAGAAGTGGATGCGATTGGAGGAGGCTTTGTGTTTTGAATGAAAATCCTTCAAACGTGTTCTAGGCTCTTTGATCTTGATCCCTTTGAACGCTGCCGATTCGATCAAACTTCGTGTCTTGGCTTTGTTGCCTTTTTGCAGCATTATTCATTGCCACTACATTTGATGGTTTCACGACGGGCCACGTTCACACTGTTCTCATGGAAATGCAAGTCAGAGCTTTGAAAAACCATGGAACTTAAATTGTTACATCTTCAGATGAGCATAGCAACGGCTTACGGAGTCCCACGAAAAGTACGCTCCATTTCACAAGTAATTTCTTTTTCTATTTCTCTGTTCTTTTCGTTCCCAATGTGATAATCTCGTGACAGCTTAAGCTCTCTGGAAAAACGAGAGGCTTGTAAAGACTGCCCGAGGTTCCAATGTTATTCAAGTAATTTCCATGTTTCAATGCTTTTTCATCTCTCCTGGTGTGGAGTATGGATGTTTTTACTAATCAACAGGAAATGGAAGAAAATGTTTCAGTTCGATCAAATTCGCTACTCCAGGGGACGACCATCGTTTCTGCGCATGATTTAAATTTAAATTATCAGAACTTGGTTCCTCAGTTTGGGGCCCGACTTGGGAAGAGCTGCTCATGCAGTTGAAAAATGGTCATCAATCTATGTGGTGTGCGACGCGTTACACTTGCGAGAGCCGTGCTTTGATCCCGCATTTAGCTTCGTCAAGTTTTATAACCAAACTGGCCTACCATGAACCGGAATGGAAGCCCCTGAATGCCCTCCTTCTTCAGCTGCGCCGCGATCACCCTGGGGCGCCACCAGTAGACAGTCACGAATCACCATAGTGCTGCAGTGAAGAGGACGATGCAAGTGCTCAAGATCCATCTCCCTTCCATTTGCTGGATTAAGGGTAAAATGTGTGGGAGATGTGGGCGAGTACATTTAAGCCAAACAGATGGAGTGGATCTATCCCTGTCACAGCAGCTTATTTGGGCATGGAAATGCTTGTGCAGCTATGATCTTAAAGAAGATCATAAAGATCAGTCCACCAACTCCTCTAGTTGGCACTTGAGCTCCTTGAGTTCTTTTTCGTTCAAACGATAGGGGGGATGAACCACTGCCTCAGCACCCTCGACCAGCTTAATCTTATGTTCTATCGGTCGTGTGGGGGGCAACCCTGTCGGTAACTCTTCCGGCATGGGATCCTGAAATTGGTCAAACACAGACCGCCATCTCGAGTGCCTCGAGAAATGCCTTGAGAAGTGCGAAGAAAACAACATTGCCCTCAACCCCGAGAAATGCGCCTTCTTCATCAAGTCTGGAGTACTTCTCGGCCACATTGTCTGCAAAGATGGCATACTCATCGACAAGGACAAAGTCGAAGTCATACTTCAGCTCGACCCGCCAAAGAACCAGAAGGACCTCCGAAGATTTCTCGGCAAGATCGGATACCACCGAAGATTCATCCACAAGTACGCCGACATCGCCAAACCTCTCACCGACGGTCTCCAGCTCGACGCCCAGTGGATCTGGTTGGACACTCAGCAGACAGCATTTGACAACCTCAAGCTCAAGCTCACTACTGCACCAATACTCGCCAAACCAGACTGGACCAAAGAGTTCCATATCCACGTTGACACCTCTGACATTGGCACTGGCACAGTGCTTAGCCAAGCCCAGAGGGACAACTGAGACCAGCCGATCTACTACGCAAGCAGACTACTCACCTCGACCGAACACAACTACACCACCACTGAGAAAGAAGCCCTCGGCATGGTTTACGCCCTCCAGAAGTTTCGGCACTACATTCTTTCGAGCAAAGTTGTCATTTTCGTTGACCACAAGGCCCTCCTTTACCTCATCAACAAGCCCATACTCTCCGGCCGAATTTCCAGATGGTTCCTTCTACTCCAAGAGTACAACTTCAAAATCGTCCACAAGCCCGGTCGACAGCATGAACAGGCCGACTTCCTCAGCTGCATCACCACCGGAGAATCGCCCAATCGACTCACTGACGATTTGCCTGACTCCAACCTTTTCCGAATTTCAGTACCAGCAACATGGCTCGACGACATCTTTGCCTACCTCAGCTCAGCAAAAGTCCCAGCTCAGCATACAACGCCAGACCAGAGAAAGACTTTTGTCTCGAAAACCCACCGATACTCCATCATCGGCGGCAGCCTCTACAAACTCGGCATCGACAACATACTTAGAAGATGCATCAAAGTTCCAGAGACCCTCCGGATTATAAACGAAGCACATTCTGGACCGTCTGGCGGCCACTTCGCCTCCGACACGACCGTCTGGAAGATTCTCCAGTCAGGACTCTGGTGGCCGACAATCTGGCGAGACACCGAAGACTTCTGCCGGAAATGCGATACCTGCTAGAGGAATCGACTTCCGCCGAAAACTCAGAGTCAACCGCTCAACCGCGCCTTTCCAGAGATGGGGACTCGACTTCGTTGGACCCCAAATCACCACAGCCTGGAAGAACCAGTACATCATTGTTGCCACCGACTACGCCACCAAATGGGCCGAAGCAGCTCCACTCAAGCAAGCAACCGCCAAGCCAACAGCCAAGTTCATCTACGAGAACATCATCACCCGCTTTGGAACACCACTCGAACTTGTCACCAACCGCGGCAGCCACTTCATCAACGAAACCATTGGACACCTTACCGAAGAGTTCCAGATCCGACACAAGACATCAACGCCCTACTACCTGCAAGGCAGCGGCCAAGCTGAAGCCACCAACAAGACCCTCAAGACAATTCTCAAGAAAGTCATCAGCGATTCCGGCAAAGATTGGGACGAGAAACTTGCAGACGTTCTCTGGGCCTACCGGACAGCATACAAGATCACCACCAACATGACACCGTTCAAGCTCGCCTTTGGAATAGAAGCCATAACAAACTCCATTTGACTCTATTTTGCATGTTGGTCCTGGCATTAGGATGTTGGATGCTCTAGGACTATTACAAGTTGTTATACCTTCACTCCTTAGGCTATATGCTCAAGAGTTGCACCATTCTCAAGTTCTATTGTTCCTTGGTTCTATGCTTAAAAGTTTAGCACCCTTTTTTCGTTCAGTGGCCCAAGGCTCTAAAACTCAAGTTTCACACTACTGTCCTTTAGACATATAGCATGTGGCATCTGGCACATAGAGGGTTTAAGTTTTGTTTCATGGTTATCCAATAGTAAATCACTATAGGATGAAGGGTGAAAACCACGTGTGCTACATTTTGTATAAGAGGTGAGTCTTAGCAAGTACTATCAATAAAATTGGGCAAATAGTCTTGTTGCATATGTAAAGATGAAAATGATGATTCGAATGGGTACACGTTTGGGTGCTAAGAGTTCGCATTTGTTCCTTGGGTATGGATTTTGGTTACCTTTTGTATCATATTGTATGAGGTTGCACTTGGGCTCATAAGAAGGATTTGAGGTGTATTGTTTTACATGAGTTTACACTTGGGCTCATGAGTGAAACATATTAGCAACTCAAAGTTGTATTTTGAGTTAGCAGGATTAATGTTAGTCTATCGATGGTTCAATGTATCATGGGTAAAAATAAACCTTCCCTAGGTTTGCTAAGAGTGGTAAATAGGTTGGTCTATAGCTATTTAGCATAGCATTAGTGAATCCTTCTTAGGCTTGATTATGAATGGATCAATCAAGACTGTAAGGATTAGTTTATTGGTTCAAATAATTATTCTCTCATAAACTTTTCTTGGATTGAATTGAAGGCAATGCGAATATAAACTTTGAATCTATCTCATAGTCTTCACTTTAATTTTGATTGAGAGTTGATCATGCATAGCTAACCTCTTTAAAGCATCCTCAAAGTTATTGACTAGTTGTGTTAGTGAGTTTATTGTGGTTAAGTTGGATTTAAGTGGTCATTTAGTCTGTGTTTGTCTATGTACTTGAGGTGTTACCTTCTTGTTGGACAAGTATAATTCGATGATGTGTGTTTAGTGTTTAGGTCTTATAAAGGCAAATTAAAGAGTGATTGTTGGTTGTTTGCAACTAGTGGTTACTTGTAGACTTTGTCAAGGACTTTTGACATTTGTTTTGCTCGATAAAGATTTATTAGTGATGGGCTTGTTTTGTTAGATGGTGTTGCGAAGGATCATGTCGTTAGACTTACATGATTTTTCTATGTTAGCATATTGACTCTACCTTTGTCAATATCATTTGGTTACGTTTAGTCCATGGTATTGAATTTCATTAAGTCTTGGATGTGGTGAATCACTCTTTGATGATGTGTTATCAATCACTCCTTGAGGATTGGTCTTAGGTTACTAATTAAGGTATCTTCGACTTTGGTTAACTTGGTTGCTATAGAGCTTTAAGTGGTAATTTACTTTTGCTTTTTATTAATTTTGTTATGGTGTTAATGGCATTCAAGTGATGCTTTGTTATTGACATTGTTAATATTGAGATTTAAGTAAGTGGGATGAGACGTCTCTCCATGGGATTAATAATGAGTTTTATTAGTTTCAATGGAGATTATATTAATGATTTGGCTGTAACTTTATGTTCTTAGCATTCGTGCATTTGCTAATTAGCAATTGTATTGGCATTCAAATAAACTGAGTGGCAAGTTGAGATAATTGTGTTCTAAACAAGATTATTTAATAAAGGTTGAGCTTTAGCTTTTCCTTGAAAAGTGATTTAGTCATAGACTATGCTACCTTTCCGAAAGAAAGAGTTAGTGATCGATATTGAAATATTTGAATCTTTGTTAGATTTGAGTTGGGGATATATTAATCATTGATGATTTTTCTTGTATTTGTTATGAAGTGAGTTATGTTTTGTTATAAATGGATTCATGGAGGATTATTTAGTGATCACTTGTTAAGTATAACTTCATTGTGCTTAGCTTTTGGATTGATGCAGATATGCTCTTTATTAGTTTTGTATTATAAAGTTTAATTTATGAATGTGTTAAGGAGGATATTATAAGTTGTGCCATGATTTCTTCTTTAGCATTAAAGTTAGTTTATGTAATACTCGTAATCATTGTTAGACAAGATTTAGTTATATGCTTTTTTAAACTTTTGATTTTTTGAGTTTTATGCTCATTGTTCCATTTGTTATGAGTTGTTGGGGAAAACATTTTAGTTTATTAACTTTGATGTTCAAGTTAGTATTTGCATCTGGCAATCATTAGTGATGATTGACTGTTATTTAGAATAGTTGATTATCCTTATCAAAGATTTTGCTAAATTATTGTTGATGTTGAATGATTTGCCATTCTTGGTAGATTGTTTCTTTGACAATGATTATGCATCTCTTTATTGTTTGGATGATTAATATTCTTTTATGATGGTTAGTTGTTCTCTTTGATAACTTATAGCTTTTTGTATTATCACATGTTCTTTGTGGTTTACTCTGCTTAAGTTTAAAATATTGGTAAGATGTTGCTGACACTTGCTTAAGCAATTTGAGTTTCTCCGTATTGTTGACTAGGATCTATTTAGGTTAGCTAGTGTGATAGTTAGCATGAATAATTGTTTATTTGTTTTACAATTTTTATTCTGTTTTGTTGATTGTTGTTTGAGTTGGTTTTAATAGATTAGGATATTATTTCTTTTGGATAATACATTCACAAGCATTTTGCTTACCATTCGATGATACTTTATATTCTTTAAGTTATATTTTGTAAGTTGTTTAGCATGCTATCTATAACTTTTGGTAGTTAAATTTTATCATTAAGTTTCTTGATGATATAATTTCTATTGAATTTTTTTGGATGGTGAATTCTATGTTTTCCAACTATATTAATCTTGGTGATTCCTATACTATCATTCTAATTTATCGGATGATAACTTACTTGGAATACATTTGCATTCTAATCTAAAATTTATTCACTAATAATTAAGTCTCTAAAATATCATTATCTCTGACTTTGATAGTGATCTTTGACTTTGGGCCAGTTTAGGCATATTGGTTTCGGCACTTTGTGTGCATGGTCAAATTTTTATTCATGGGATAGCTACTGTCAATTAATCACATCACCTGCCTCTCTGTTAATGTTTTTTATTTCATTAAAAAAGGCGTGACTATATAAACAACTTTAACCACCTGGTTACAGTAGTCTATCTAAACCTTATTGATATGTTTGGATTCTTTGCTCATGAGGGTTGGGGCATCTAGCTTCTTTCTATATATCCTTGCGAGTAGGGGTGTATCACACTCTTGTAAGCTAGGTGACACCCAAAGTAGCAAGGGTGGCTAGCTCCGTTAATCATTTTCTTGTCGACAATGGTCAAAAAATGTATGCATTAGACAAAGAGGTTACTTTAACTCATTTAAGTTGTGCATTTCTTATATAGTGTGATCACCGTGAATTTTTTCTAGAGTTGTTTCTTTGCCGGTGGTCTTGACTGGAGTATGCATTGACAAGGATGTCGATCTTCCCTAAGGGGGGGAGAGTGTCACAAATGTAACTTTGGGTATTAAAAGTTACCTATTTACTAGTCCTTTCGAATATTCTTTCCTTACTGTCACAACAGCAAGAGGTTGATATTGTTAGACTCGTTATCAATTCTCACTTGAGCTAGTTGAGAAATTGGTTAATGACCATATACTTAAATCGAATAAACATAAGATAGGAACTCTTATGTGTTTCTTGCTGAGTAGACTTAGCCTAGTTTGAGAAACTCTTGTAATTAGCTTGCACTTGCTAGGATCAAGAACCCCTGTGATATTGAGCTTAGTCCCTCAATATTCGCTAAATGATAACTGACCATGTTTGCCAAACACTCTTGCTATTGTGCCCTTTGTGTTATTCTTAATAATGGGCCTCTTATTCCGGTCCCAAATGCTATTTATGGAAAGTGTCTAGATTTGCTCATTTTGCATATCTATAGAATGTAGAAATTATTTTAAACACAACGGTGTTCATCCTGTGTCCAATTTCACAATCTAAAGACATTCTATATTTAATAAGTTTTAAGTTTATCCCAAAGACTTACTCCTAATACTAAGGGTCACTAAAGGTGAAAGCCCAAAGCGTATGTTCCTCAAGGGGGGGGGGGGGGGGGGGGCAAGGGTGTGGGGGGTTCCAAAAATAAAAAAGGGATAGTAGGTAGGTTGAGCATGGGTGATTAACTTAAGATATAGTTTAGCTCCCGTTAATGTATCTATTCTTGTTCTATGTCCAGCTTGGGTCTAAACCCAAGTTCTACACCATACTAGCTGATGGAGTACCCATGTCCTCATGTTAGGCAACCAATATGCTAAAATAGCACCAAACTCCATTTGGTTTTGTTTTGCATGTTAGTCCTTGTATTACGATGTTAGATGCTATAGAACTGTTCCAAGTTGCTTCATGGCCTATGTATTAATTCCGTTTCAAATCTATATACTATTAATAGTAAGTGTCTAGATCCACCCAAGAGGCATATCTACGGAATGTAGAGAGTGTCATAAACCCTATAGTGTTGTTCTTATTCCATTCTTCCATTTGTCCAAGCAAAGTCTGCCAAACACTTGAGTTATATGCAATTAGGACAATTACAACATTATAACTCCTATTATCGTCCACCTGTAGAATACAAAATGGATGACTTAATGTTAGTCTGTTTTCCCAATTTTACAATATGTGGTTTGTTTAAAAGGCTCTTTGCTCAATGAAAGGGACTATATCAAATGTTACAGCAAGTTGGATCACAAGTTTATGAGGTTTAGCATGACATCCAATAAGCCGATCCTCTAGAAATTGTACATATACAATGGCTAAAATGCTTCATACAAAGGGATCAAGAACAACTAACACTACTTACAGATACACTAATATCTTCTTCTGATGTTCCTTTAGATCCCGGCCTATCCACTACAAAACCATGATTGTCTTTTATCATTCTAAGAGAAGAGGATGATGTGAGGTCCAAAGTGTATGGCTACAATGTTGTATACTAATATTAATGTAGTGGGATTTTAATAATCATCGGATTGGTTTTAATTTGAACCACTCGCTCTTATATATAAACTAGGGTTTTTAGGTTAATTGATATGTACATTTTTATATTCCATACACTCACATTTTTTAGATAAATGTTTTATACAAATTGTGTTGCCAAATTATTGTATTCCTTTTTCTTATTTTAAAATAATCATCTTTCAATTATTGATCTTAAAAGAATTGCAATTAGGATATTTATGGAGATATAGTAAAATTTATTTTCATTAGATCTAATGAGATGATTGAGCAGAAAATCAAATTGCTATACCAAAAGTTTGAAACAGCTACCCACTCTTATCACTCCCCCTTTCAAGCCTATCAAATTCATGCCAGACTATCCTTGATAAACTTAAATGATACTTCCTTATTAGGCTTCCATTCCAACATTTCCATCCAGAACGATCAATCATGTTTACAACTTTTTTGCAGAATTGTCACCAAGAACTGCTTCCCCTGGGTGATGATGTTGCAAGCATTTGCCACAAATGTTCATCCCCATGAAGTGGAACATCTCTTTTTCAAAATCCTGCAAACCAATCTTGTTGTTTGGAACCCAATGATAGCTGCTCATCACAAACAACGCTGGCACACTCGCTTTATGAATCAATGCCAACATGGAGCCTCATTTCTTCTACCACAATTCTTACTGCACTTGCTTGTTTTGGGGATTTGGAGAAAGCGAAGGTAGTTTTTTATTCGATGGAGGAACACGATCTCATTGCCTGGAACACAATGCTTGCTGCCTATACACACAGTGACAATATGGACGAACTCACTGCTATCCCCCAGCAGATGCCAGAACTTGATATTGTCTCGTGGAACACAATTCTTTCAGCATACGCACGATCTGGGGATTCTCACACCACAGAACAAATCTTCCATCGCATGACTGAAGCTGATCTCGTCTCCAGCACCACAATGCTTAAATTTTATGCAGAGAGCCGCGAGACAGATCAAGCCCAACAAGTCTCTTATGGATTGCCACATTGCAATGACATCTCCTGGACAGTGATGATCAAAGCATATAGGGCTGCAAAGACCTTAACCTATGCTTTGATCTCTTTAACAAAGCCAGCAGTAGTGATGTGGGAAGCTATGCTATGCGTATATACCAAGGCCGGGATGGCTAAACAAATTTTTTATTCCATTCCCGCTACAGCCCTCATGCCAGCATATGTTCAATAAGACCATCACTTGAAGCGTCATGATCCACGGGTATGCCATGAAGGTCGCGCGAGTGATGCTTGGCGCCTATGCGAGCAATGGGGTCTTGGACGAGGCAAAAGGCTTCTTCGATTCCGAGCACGGTGATGGCGGCCGAGTAATTTCGCATTTGTTGAAAATACAGGGGCATTGTGAGAATCGGGCTCGCGACCTCTCGCACCCAAAACGAGAATCAAACCCATTAAGGACTAACGCCCTTCAAATATTTCAGTCATCGCTCCAGGCACGGCCCAGGACAAAATCAATAGACTGAAATCTGTGGATGTCACGGTTATAGAATCGCCAGCCAATATTGGTGAAGCAATGGACCAGGAATTTAAGAAGCGAAACCAATGTCGATCGGGAGGAATAACACGATACTTCTAATTGTTCTCCATTTTGATGTACTCTAAAGCTTTTAATCACAGGAGTGATTCTTACAGTCAATGGTGGACGCTCTCCACACGGATTGGAGAGAAGTAACTGTTGCTCTTGTTCCCAGAGACATGGGAGAGGATCTCTTGAATCATGTTGTTTGTCTTGTTTGTGCAATCCTTGGCATGGATTTCCTTGGACATGTCCCGGCTCATGCTTGCGCTCCTCCCATCAAACATATACTTGAACAGCGTGCACAAGCTTCCACCTTCCTTAATCTGGACTCCATACCAGATCTTGTCTCCAGCACATCTAGTCGAGTGGCACAAGTCCTCGAGTCGCCTCATCATGTGGCATCTCGTCCCGCCAATCACCACCAAGAGCTGGGAGTTCCTCGAGGCACAATCATCACGGTCTCTACTGCAGAGCTCTTGGGTGAGGAGGCTGTGAAGCTCTTGAGCTCTAGCACAGTGGAGGAAGTCCGGTGCCAGTAGCTTGGATGCCGATCGTGGCCAAAAGTCATGAAAATCCCTGTGGGAAGTGATAACTAACCCATCAATCTTGTATACTACCTTGCTGCTCGGATTTTTCTTGGGGACCATGGGAGGCTCCTCCTGGAGCTCACGCCTTCTCTTTGGAGCACTAATCTTGGTATCAACTTGTCCTTCCTTGTTTCGCTGCCTCTTCTTTCCCTTCTTGATTGCATCCATCGCCGCCACAGCGCTAGCCTTCTTGTCCACGCTCTCGATCACTGCCATTAAACCCTGATTGTGTGAATCCTAAAGGGCCCTTTTATATGGTAACAAAAAATGCAATCAAATCAAAATCTAGTACGGACCGCGAATATTTTATTGATCGTTTATAAGACATGCTCCGTTTAATATAAAGAATCAAATGAGTCCTAGTTCTTCCACTTCCCGACCTCGATCTTTCCGTTCCAAGCTTGACCGCGCCCACTCCAGCGATTGCGAGGTGAGGAGATTCCTTGCGTCGCTCAAGGAATGCTCGCGATCCCGGGATCTGGATTGGGGTAAGCAAATCCACGCCGAGGCGGAGTGCTGCGGCCTCGATTCCAATGCGTTCGTGGCGAGCAGCCTGGTGAATCTCTATGGCAAGTGCGGCTGCATGGACGAGGCGCGCAGGGCTTTCGACCGGATGAACTGCCCCGACCTCGTCGCGTGGAATTCTCTCATTCTGGGCTATGCCGTGAATGGGCATGGCGGGGTTGCGCTCCAGCTCTTCCTGGACATGGAATCGCGGGGCTTGAAAGGGAATTCTGTCACGTTTATTGGATTGCTCAAGGCCTGCGCGAGCCTCGCAGAGAAGGAGAATGGGATGGTTTTAGAAGATCTAGAGCTCGTCGTGAAGTTTTCTTCTCTTGAGAGAGGAATGGCTCTTCACTCCCTTGCCACTGCAAGGGGAATCGACACAAACGCTTTGGTAGCTAGCAGCCTGGTGGAAATGTATGCTCGGTGTGGAAGCGTGGTGGATGCGTGGAAGGTTTTTCATGGAGCTCCAAAGCGTGACGTAGTTCTATGGACTTCTTTGATGCAGGGTTTTGTAGAGAATGGGCAGAGCGAGGTGGTGCTTGAGCTCTTCGTGGAAATGCAACGAGACAGCAGTGGAGCAAATGCCAGAACCTTTGTTGCGGTGTTCCAGGCCATCACTTCTTTAGCAAAGAGGGAACGAGGAGAAGAAACTATCCATGGAAGGATACTCAAGCTGAAGTCTCTGGAAAGAGGTATGGCTTTTCACGCGCAAGCCTTGCGAATTACTAACCATCGCTTGGATATCTTTCTTCACAGCTGCTTGATCCAAATGTACGCGGCTTGTGGCAGCATGGGCGATGCTCTTGGAGTATTTAGCACCATTTTCCAGCCAAATCAAGTCTGCTGGACGGCATTGATGCTCGGGTACGTTGAAAACAGCCAGGCCGAAACAGCACTACATTTTTTCTTGCTAATGCAGCTCGAGGGATGTTCTCCAGACGTGTGGACGCTCGTTTGCGTGCTCAAAGCTTGTGGAAGCTCAGTAGCCTTGAGGCTTGGCCGGATACTTCACGAAGAGATCACGAGCTTGGGGTTCCAGTTCCAGGGAGCCGTGATCTCTTCGTTGGTAGATTTCTACAGCAGATGTGGGAGCATGGACGAAGCGGAGCTGGTTTTCAACTCGGTCTCGAGGAAGGATGCTGTGAGTTGGAGCTCACTTATCGCGGGCTACAGCCGCCAGGGAGACAACGATCGAGTGATCCAGCTCTTTGAGAAGATGTGTGACGAGGGTGTCAAGCCGGACGGTGTAACTTATGTCTCGGTGCTCGCGACTTGCAGCCGGGCTGGGATGATCGAGCAAGGCAAGAAATTTTTCCAGGAGATGACGTCTAGGTGTGGATTAGATCCGGGCATTGAGCACTACCACTGCATGATCGACATGCTGGGACGAGCAAAGCAGATCGAAGAAGCTCTGGAGATGGTGGAAGCTATGCCGTTCGAAGCCACAATGGTCACTTGGACGAGTTTGCTGGCTGCTTGCTCGAAGTGGAAGAATGGGAGAGTGGAGAAGATTGCTTGTGACAACATCGTCTCTCTCCTGCAGAAGATTTCTCCATAGCTCATTACACGGGCTTTTTAAAAGAGATCATGTCGATCTCAATGATAGCTTATGGTCAGTGTGATTCGATTGATTCCTTTCTTACTTTGGTGTCACCATCAAGATGAATGGCAATTGCCTCTACAAAGGAAGACAATTCCAAAAGTTGCGGGCAGACGGATGATCTCGACCTCTTGCATTACAAAAAATAGAAAATCTGTACCCAAGTGTTAGGCACCAGGTCAGGATAATAGGATAAGGAAAGGGCCCTGCAATCAAGTGATCACCCCTTTAGCTAGTTGGCTTAGGGTGTAAGGGATAGGATCCTAACATTGGTATCGGAGCCCAGTTCGATTCTCGTGGCTGACGAGTGGGGCAGGAATATTCTGAAGGAATATTCAACATGGTGGATCTAAAGGGAGAACCAAGGTTTGGTAAACCCTAAGAGAAGGACCATGGTGACTGGATGGTGGCCTAAGTATGATCGTGGACGATCATTCCCTGACGAGGGGGAGGATTGTTAGGCACCAGGTCAGGATAATAGGATAAGGAAAGGGCCCTGCAATCAAGTGATCACCCCTTTAGCTAGTTGGCTTAGGGTGTAAGGGATAGGATCCTAACACCAAGTGTGCATTATATCTTTAGAAATATTTTTCTTGACAAATTTTATAAAATTAAAACTATTTGATTTTCCTTTTCAAGCGGTGAGTGTTTGGAATATGGAAAGGGAATATAGAAAATGCACATATCAATTAGCCCAAAAACCTTAATTTATATATAGAAGCGAATGGTCTAGATTGAAATCAATTTGACAGTTACTAAAATCCCATTACACTAATATTAGTATATAGCATCGTATTGGCCCTCACATCATCCCTTCCTTTTGAAATAATGGAAGGCCGTCAAGGTTTTTTTGTAAATAGGCCAGGATTTGAAGGAACATTAGGAGGAGGCATCAGTGGATCTATAGATGATATTAATTGCTCCTGATCCCTTTGTATGAAGCGTTTCAACTGCTGCACATGCACAATCTCCAGAGGATTGGCTTGTTAGACATCATGCCAAACCTCATAAACTTGTGGTTCAACTTGCCACAACACCTAATACAGTACTTTTCACTGTGCAAGGAGCCCCTTAAATAAACCATATATTGTAAGATGGGGAAAACGGACTAACACCAAATCTTCCACGTTGTACTCCGTAGGTGGACAATGATGGGAGTTGTATTGCCATTGTTGTCCCACTTGTATGCGGCCTAAGTGTTCGGCAGACTCCACTTGGACAAGTGGAAGAATGCTCATCAAATACTGATCCTATGACCTAGCATCTGCAGCTTGTGGCAATCACGAAAGTAAACCCAGCTCCTTTGGTAATATTGGATCATAACCATATAGAAGTTTATATGGTAAAGCACTAACGGAACTCTGCACTCCTGTGACATATGCTTACCGAAGAGACGGCAAATAACCATCTTAATCCGAATGCTGAAAGTTCACATATTTCACAATCATCCCCTTGAATGTCCGAACAAGCCGTTCCACCAGACCGTCTGATTGTGGATGATAAGCACTCGTGAAAGTGTGGCGTATCCCCAACCGAGACATCAAAACATGAAATGCCTCAGCCATAAATGCGGGACGATTATCCGAAAGAATCCGCTCTGGACAATAATGCTAGAACACCACTCAATTAAGGAGGAAGTATCCAACAACAGTTGTAGAGGCGCTAGCAAGAGCCCCAACTTCCACCCAATAAGTCAAGTAGTTAGACGCAATAATAATATACTCATTGCCAGCAGTTGACTGTGGAAAAGGTCCCATAAGATCAAACGCCACCAACTCAAACGGATGGGAAATTGCAATTAACTCCAACCGTTTTTCCGCAACCCAAGGGGGAGTATTACGAGTTTAGCACCAAACGCAACTACGCACATACCGGATAATATCACGTCACATCTTCAACTAATAGAAAGACTTGCACAGCTTCTCGGTTACATGACGATGTCCCATATGCCCACCTAGAACAGGAGAATCATGGTAGGCATAGAAAAATTGCGGAATAAAGATAGAAGGCACCACCAGCCGTAAATGATCCTTAGGATCCGTCCCCACAAAATAAAAAAGGCCATCTTCAAAGCGATATTGAGAATGTAAATGCCGAAAAGGCAAATCATCAGTAAGTGATGTAGGATTCTCAAACGCATCTCAAAGCCTTCGAATCCACGGCTCAATCTTTTGAGCCTCACGAATCTTATCAAGAGAAGGTACATTTTGCTCTGCCCCTTGTGGACACTGAACATCAAGTACAGCAAACGCCGATGGCACAGAATCCTCGTCTAGAAAATCCACAGAGGCTGGAATAACAGGCTCATCAGAAACATGAGAAGAGAATAGAAAAGGAAGGGGAGCTCAAGAAAGGGCATCAGCATCAGCCATAGAACTCCCTGGGCGATGAACAACATCAAAATCATATATCTGAAGCTTCAAAGCCCATCAAGTTGTACAACCAACTACGTTCTTTCGCTTCAATAATGAAGTAACAGTAGCATGATCACCTTTAAGTAACATTCGAGAACCATGTAGATATGCATGAAGTTTCTCGAAACCCCAAACTGCTGCTAAACACTCCTTCTTTGTTGTGGAGTAGTTCATTTCTGCTGGTTGTAATGTACGGTTTATATACGCAATGGGATGGCGCTGACCAGGCACACTCGAGCTCTCTTGCATCAACACACCTTCAAGACTAATGTCAGAAGCATCCACGCGCAAAATAAAAGGTCAAGTGTAATCAGGATATGCCAAAACTAGAGGAGTCGTTAACAGTTTCTTGAGATCCCCGAACGCCCACTCATAATCCGGAGACCAGATGAAAGATGATGTTGATGACTTCAGCAATACTCACAACGGTGCAGTGCGATTAGAAAGATGATCCACAAAATGACCGAGATACTGCACCTTGCCCAAAAAGCGCTACACATCATTCACACAGTTCGGAGTAGAGAACTTTAGAATAGCCACAAGTTTGTTAGGATCAACTTGTAAACCCTCACGAGAAATACAGCACCCAAGATAAGTTGTATCCTTGGACCCAAACACGCACTTCGACTGCTTCAGCTTTAAACCAACGTTGCGTAGCCGATCCAACACTTTACAAACATCACGAACGTGCTCCTCCCACGTCCCTTCCGAGTGGATCAAGACATCATCAATAAAGTCAGCAGTCACCTTTGACATATTACAAAGAACATTGTCCATCATCCGCTAAATAGTTGCTGGAGCATTATTCAAACCAAACAGCATCACCAAGAACTCGTACAAATCAAATGGTGTACGAAAAACAGTCTTAGGAATATTTTCTTCGGCCATCGGTATTTGCCAGTACCCAGAAGCAAGATCTAACTTGGTGAATCAACGACTTCGCCCCAGACAATCCAAAAGATCAGTAGTGTGAGGAAGAGGGTACACATCAGGGATCGTCACTTCGTTTAACGGACGATAGTCAATGCAAAAACGAATACTCCCATCAAGTTTCGCCACAAAATGAGGTTCACATGCCCAAGGACTCCGCGACTTCCGAATAACACCCTTCTCCAACATCTCCTTGACATTTGCACGTAAAATCCGGATCTCCTTGGGTGATTGACAACGAATGAAAACCTTGATTGGACGAGCATCCTCGGTTGGAATTGGATGACGTGTGGCAATCTTGGCCCTAGACAATATGTCAAATTCAAAAGGATCAAAATACTCCTTCACGAGCCGGTCCACCACTGCAACACAAAGATCGTCAGAGAGATCGGAAAATGGAAGAGTAGAACAAGATGGAAACATAAGAGGAAATAGTGGGGGAACAAAAGTAATGGAAGCAGAGGTCGAAGTAAAGGGACAATGAGGTACAGAGAGGTACAGAAGTGAGAGGAATGGATGAAACATAAGGAAGTATGAGACAAGGGGGAGAAGCCTCAAAATCACACTTGGCATGATTGTGCTGCAACCAATCCATACCAAGAATGAGGTCAAAAGTTTGACTCGGCACCACCTGCAATGACTGCAACTCAAACTCGAGATCGCCCACACGCACAACCAGGTCCACCTTATTTTGTGCACATGCATGTGTACGGCCGTTGCCATAAAGAATGAAAACTAGTTCCGCCGCATGACGCAAGTGTAGATGGCAACGTGTGGCAACAGGTTGAGCAATAGAAGATAAACTCAAACCTGTATCAAACAACACAGAGAGAATAATAGAAGATTTCTTGTTATAAAAACGAGCTTAGAAAGTAAACATTGGATGAACCAGTGCCAAGTGAACCCTTTAATGATATTCCCAAAAGAAAGATGGAAGGGTCACTGACTTATTCGCACAAGATCCCTCCGTTACTCACACGACTCTTCGTTTCCCGGATGTATCTCAGTGTCCAAACCATCCACTGCAGTAGCACTAATGGGACGTTGCTGATGCCAAAGTCTCCACCCAGGAAATGGAGGTCGCCAATCCGAAAACCGTCGACAACGCCGATAAGTATGACCAACTTCATCACACGCCTAGTAGCGGACATCACGGCCACAACCACGTCCTCGACCTTGTCCTTGGACTCGAGCAGCAGCAGCATCAACCTCCATTGGAACAGGACCATCACTCAAAGGAAGTGGAGCTGAAGGACGTGTAGTGAAAAGTGGAAGAGGCGATGTCTCATAACGTTGTGCCAAGCGAAGAGCATCGTCAAGGGTGGTACGAGCAAGTGCATGCACAAGTCCGACAAAATCTTGACGAAGTGCTGGCCATAACATTCCTAGCTTGATCCGCTCCGACATATTTGGCTTCGCACGAAGCAAAAGACTTCGGAAACGAACGCTAAATTGCATCACCGACTCAGATGGCCCTTGGCGAAGATGATGCAATTGTTGGAAGGCATTATCACAGTTGTCGGCATGTCCGAAGGCGCGTTTGAAGACGTCCGGGAGAACACTCCAATCCTCACAAGTGGCTGTGCTCAGACCATTGTACCATTGCACCATTGCAACGCCGTCCCTTGGAGACACGTGAGAAACTCACGCAAACGTCGAGCATCATCCCAAGAATAATATGTGGCAATCACCATGAAG